ATAGACGGGGTGTATATAGGGGTTAAGGGGGTTTGGGTCAAAAAACGAATGATGCCAATCGATAGAGTACTCAAAACTACCTTGGGTGTAGGAACACACCCTGGGGGTATTTCACCCCCAATGACCTTAGATCGGGGTTGGTGTATAGGAACCAAAAGGGGGTAAGGGAGTGTTGGGGGGTCAAAACTAATGATGCCAATCGATCGGGCATCAAAAAATACCTTGAGTATGAGGAGGGTATAGGGGGGGTTTTTCGTGTCCTTGACCCTCAAATGGGAGTCTGTAGATTTTTGGGGGGTTAGAAAAATAGGTAGCCCCACAAAGTGAGGAGAGGTCGGTCGGAGGGTCAAAACCAATGATGCCAATCGATAGAGCACTGAAAAATACCCCGGGTATGGGTGAAGGGTAATGAGTGTTTTTCCACTCCAAAGACCTTAAATATGGGTCCGAAGAGTCAAACCGGAGAGGGGATCAAAACCAATGGTGCCAATCGATAGAGGACTGAAAAGTACCCTAGGTAGGGTCGAAGTTTCATGTGGTGTTTTACATCTAGACAGTGAAATGGAAGTCGATATATATATTTTGGGGGTAACAAAATAAACATAGCCCCCCCAAAAAGGGGGAAGGGGGGTCGGATGAAAAAATTAATGATGCAAATCAATAGAGCGCCCAAAATTACCCTAGGAATGTCTCCCCTTTTGGAATTTCGTTCTACAAAAAAATCAAACCAGAAATATGAAAAGTTTCCCCCCCTCGCGCATGTATGGCGCGCGCTCATCGAACCTGAACAAAACAACAAATTAAGGAATGAAGAGAAAAAGGGAGCACCAACATAAAAAACAACATCTACTTCGACATCAAACCGCAAACATTCAGGCTTATACTTGTTTTATACTTGTTTGCACACACCGCGTGCTTAAATTAGAATTTTCTTGTGTGATTTTTTACACCCTCTCATGTTGAATACACCGATTCTCTTGAATGCTTTTTTCTCAAACTGTATTTGCACGGTATGCTATAGTATCTGGCTTGAGGGCGCTATAAATTTTATTATCATAAACATTAAAAGCGTTTTCTCATTCTTCTTTTCTTCAATTGCTTTCATTCCGTCACTTTTACACTCATGCTACTAATTTTCGGATTTCGTTCACATCAACCGACCCTCGTTCCGCTCAACTCCAACTTCCTCCCCTATGCTTCAAATATGGACATCATCCTCACGGCACGTTGCGAACCAATTGCCGGAGAAACAATGCAAAGAAATCAATTTGTTACTTTTACTGTTACCTCTCGGGTCAGATAAAATGGAAAGCAATTGCGACACTAAGAATCAAATAATTATAGCGCGCACGCATACACGTATACAATGGCCACACGAATAGCCAAAAACGAAACAAAGTAAAAGTAAAAACGTATTATATTAAATTGCAGATCAACGTACGGAATATTCGGAGGGGTTTGTTTTTTCATTTTGATTTAGTTTTGTGGCCGATGTTGATTTGATCAAAAATTAAATATTCCGAACTTTTTCGTGTATTTCGGTGGTGTTGTGCGTGGGTTCAAAATCATTAGTGATTGTGTCACTTCGATGATAAGTTCACGAGTTAACGGTTCGAACATGAAATACACGTCAATACAATGCACAAAAATTATAATTAAATTACTCAATTGTGATTTGTTTACTTTGTTTTAGTTTGTTTGCGTTTTATTTTTGGTTTCCAGTTAATTTTGCTACTACTACTGCCCATGTTACCGTAAGTTCTATCGATGAACACGTCCATTCCATTTTATTTACTTATTTTCATTAATTTTAACGATATTGCAAGCGATTGGCATATTCTTTCTATCGGTCATTTACGGAACGCTGGTTTTTCGGCTCACCAAATGCCAATGACAAAATACAGTGCCGTACGTGCACGATACTCACCCCAAATACCTATCGATATGCCATTCATGTCAAAAGCGTGGCACTTCTTTTCGTCTATACATACCATGAAATACGCCACGAAAATCCAATGGTATGGATAAATTCACAGCATTTTCCACATTAATTCCTCCAACTCTAAGACACAAAACGCTTATACGCATAAAACACAAGTACAGGGTGGAAATCAATAATGAACATACACAGAGCTCAACAACATTATTATGTTACCGTTATTTTTTCGGTTTGTATCTGTTTTATTCTCCATCTTAAGAATTTTATGTAACAAAAAAAACGAAAAGAAAACGAATATACTAATAATGTAAATAGAAAATATTAGAAGCAGACGCACGACAGTTGTTTCGTTGATCCCTCGTCTTCATCACTCACACTCAACGTCAAATTATAATCGCATTTAAATGCTTTCCGTGATTTTCCGTGTTTGCCAAGCCAAAATAAGATAAGAGATACATTGCTGAAAAGATAAAAGAACGCACACACTAACACAAATCAAATTTCAACATTTCGACAATAAAATATAATATAACAATGTAATACATACTTGAATGTTGAATGGCCGGTGGCTATATTCTATTTTATGTGTCTTCTATAACCTCGGTCGATGTGAATAATTCCATCAGATTTTCGACGGTACATTTTCGTGACGACCAAAATCCCGTCGCATCATTCGTGATGGTCTTACGAATTGCTTCTTCGATTGTATTCAACATGATGAATCGATGAACGTATGTCTTTCTGAAAATTGAATATTGAAGAAGAAACAAAATTTGAAATAGATTTACACAGGCTCATTTGCATTGCAATAATAATGAAGTGGAAATGTTGTGTGTAATTGAAATTTTAAACGAATTTCTATACACATATATGCGCTGCTACACTCTTATATCGGTGGTATTAATATTTAGTATTTTGGGATTTTCAGCTACGATTAATCCAAAAGGACTAAAAAGTAATCCAATGGGATCATTTTATATTTTTTAACTTGAGTTCAATAAACACTTTTTTGTTGTTTGTAAAAAAATATCTCAAAATGAATCTTCCTTTGGAACACTGTTTCATATTGTATTGACAATTACATGAAACTTCAAATGCTTGTCATTGTCATTCGATTGCAAACATAACCTTTCACGGTCTTATGTTTATTGTGTAAATCACGTGCACCGTTGTCGAAAAAACTAAATTTTGTTTCTGTTGGAATTTCGATTGGTTTGTTTATTAGAATATAATTCTCAATAGAATCCTTTTTTCCATCGCTTCTGTGCAATTTATTAGATTTCTGATAAAATGTTTTATAGCTAGTGAAAACAAAGTAAAGAATTGATTAGCGAATGGTTTTCAATAGAATTTTGGGTCGGTTCGCATCAATATCAACATTCCATGTCACAACCGCTTTTGTGTGCTCAGTGATTTTTTTTCAAAAGGGTAACATGGCAAACATTTTGCAAAATTTTAAAAATCCATCAGAATCTTGAACAACCGAAACACTATCGTAAAATGCGTGTTGGTGAAAGATTAATTCTTGCTTTGTTGACGAATGATTTTCAATAAGATTCTTTTGCATCGAATATCAACATAAATTCCGTATCACACCTTTGGGAGTGTAATTTAGCGAACATTTTGTCAGCATTTGAAATCGGACTGCAGAATTATGAAATTGTATTTATGCAAGAGTGAAATGAACGCATTGATATTTGTTTATTGTGAACCCGTTCGATCACATGAATCGGTGATTGTATATTTTGATAAATTTTTAGAGGCCTGTTTTTAAAATACCAGGAACCTATAAATTCATCAACAATAATACATTGCTAAGTCAACCGATTTTTGAGTATAATTAATAAATTTATTTGATGGCATGCATAGTCTATCATAGTCATTGTAGTTTTTGATAAATATAACAGTGGCCTGAATATTTTCAAACCGGCACTTTTATATTTATCAAAATATATTTTGATTATTCATCAATATTTCGAGGTATAAATATCGGTGGAGATTCCAATACGTTAACAGTTGCTAAAAATGAGCGGTCGCAAACGGAATCACGAATCGGCGTTTAAGCCACGAAAGAAGATAAAAATTAAAGAACACCAAACAATTAAAAAAAGTGCTCGAAAAGGTTTAAAAGTGAATCTGCCCATTAACACTGGAAAATTTGCTCAGTTGATTGACGTATACGTATTAGAAATGACACGGTGCTACATATTGGGTGCACTGAATTTGCATTATTTCACCAGTGATCATTTCAAGCGCAGTACAGACGAGCAAATCGAAGCATTCTATAGTCAATTCGTCGACAAAAATTTTTTTCGAGATTGGTTTTACGGCGTTCAGTTCATTGAGCATGCATTTAACGACGCCAGAGAAAGCGGGTACAGGTTGTGTTACGGCATTTGGTACTATTGCCAAAAATACGGTGTTCGAGCTCCAGTAATTGGAGGATTCGGGAATGTAGTTGAATACGCAGTACAAATGTTTTATACAAATTACAAAAATAATATTTGTATGCACGCTCACTCACGCATCCGAAAGTTTTTCACACATCAAAACGCGAGCAAAGCACAAATTGATGACACCATGGATTTCTTATTCAAGCAAAACTCCAACTGTGTGCCAGACCTGGATTTGATGTGGGAACTGGAAAATACATTAAAGCCAATCCGATTCGACGATGGGAAAGGGTACTTTTTTGCTATGGAAAGCAATTGGTTCAAATACATACCAATATTCCTGAATTTGCAACAGTGAGTTTTCGTTCATTTATTATTGTGAATCAAACGATTGTATTTTTTATGCGATTTTTTTCCATTTTGAAAATTCTACAAATATCACACGAGTAATTTTATCAATTTATTTTTTGGAAAATATACAAAAATAGGTACATTCGCAATCATGAACGTGAACGAAAAGCCGCATTGAAGCGAGGTGAACGAACCGAGCTTCGTGAATACGGAAATTTCACCGTGGTACCAACGTCATCGTTCGAAAGACATTACATTCGAATTGATCGTAGAGTGTTTTATCGCATGTTGAGACAGATAGAATGTCCACATCGATTATTTCGCAATAAAAACGGCGGTCCAAAACAGGAGAAAGACATCAAAAATAAAGAATGGGATGTATTATGGCGTCTGTATTTCGACATCGATAGCATCGAAAGAGAACCGAGAAACAAAAATGATGGCCATGCAACAATAAAATTCGACAACTCCATTCAAACAGATGGTGTCGGTATGTCATTTTTGATGGAACGAACAAAATTCATCATTGAAAAAGACGATGAAGAGCGTATGAAAGAGACACAAGAGATGCTTCTGAAAAGCCAACAAGTGTATGGTCTCGATCCTGGACTACGTTTGGTCATTGGTGGTGTGCGCATTAACAATTTCAACGATCGAAATAATCGCACTGAAACAATCATTCGATTGACATCGGGCCAATACCAAGATATGATAAATTCATCGCGACGGAACAAATGGCGCAAAAAGTTGACAACTGAAATCGATGAAAAGATGCGTCTACATCGTGAGTCATTTGATGAGCAGCCTGGTCCACGAGCCGAAGACCATAAATCATATGCTGATCATATTTTGCGTCATTTTGAAGAAAAGTTCACAGCATACACACAGTATGAATACGCTTTGCAAGCATTTCTCCAGTACATTGACACGAATAGAGCACTTGATGCATATGCAACCAAGCTCATCGATGGTAAGCAAACGTTCATATTTGTCGGTGATCGTTTCATTGCGGCAGATTCACCAGCCCGAGGATATATTCGATCGAAGGTGCGAGATTTGTTCGAGAAGTTGAAACGTCGCCGTAAATGTACAGTGGTCGAGGTGGACGAATTTCGGACGACCAAATTATGTTCGTTGTGCTTCCGTGAACTTGAAAAACCGACAAAAAGAGGCAAAGTAAAGGAGAAATATCGCTATCTCACATGCCATGGATGCGAACCATTGTGTGGAGAAAATGTGCTTGGAAAAGCCCAAGGTCCGATTGAATCACGAAAAAGCAATCGCAAATTGACGCAGCAACGAAAACATCGTCCCCGTACTGATGGTCCACGTATGGCATCAAAATTTCGTAAATATGAAGAGAAAACTCGAATTGGGCGTACTATCACCTGGAATCGTGATGCAAATGCAGGTCGTAACATTCTCTACAAAGGTTTGTGTTTGTTAAATTGATATGCTCTCAGTTTAATATGAACAAGTCAATGAACAATAGACAATGAATTCGTTTTTTTTATTCCTTACAAACAAACAGGATGGTGTGCTGTTATGAATATAGAGCTACATCCAGCATTTCAACGGCATGTTGAAGAAGAAGAAGAAAATGCAGGAGGAGGAGATCCACCGCCAGCACCACCAGCACGAGCTCGACAATCAAGACGAGCAGCATCCAATCAAGTATGTAATCATTTCAATAATTCTGCTTTGAATTTATCTAATCAATTGAAGCTACACATACTTTTAATTTACGTTCATATTTAGAAATTGATATAATCATTGTCATTTTCAGAATCAACAAACAACACAACGAACATTGCGTTCTCATCTGGATCAAGCGCGGAGCTCTCGGCCGTAAGCCCTGGGTTTTGTGCGGGATTTCAACGTGGTCCTACAATTCGCTACAATTAGTAAGTATTTAAATTTAATCCTACAGTGCTAAAATTTAATCCTTTTGGATTATTTTGATGAAAAATCCCAAATGATTAATATTTAATCCCTTCTATTTTACAGTGTATCAAAGCATTTTGATGATGTTCATTTTGAGTACTGAAATAGGTATACATACTTTGTTTGGCCCATACGATGAATTCGTCCAATTGCTTGTAATTCTTCGCCGGTATCCAAAATGGGTTCAACGAGAAAAACGTGCGTTGCTTCGATTAGATTCAAACCTTTCGAACCATAACTTAATGGCAGCAATAAACAGGTGACATTCAAATTGGGATCCTGATTGTCGAACAAAAAAAAATGATTTGAAAAGAGAAAAATGAACATTTTCACTCAATTTTATTTGTGCTATGAACTTTTCTTGCGTGTCTTTTTTTTCTTTTTCTTCTTTCTTTTCTCAAGCCAACACGAAAAAATAAAGTTTCAATTTTCAAAAAACATACTTTGAATTCTTCGATGGTTTTATAGAATTTCTCGAGGCGACTTCGGAATGAAATATTTGTTTTTATCAGCGCATCTTCCAAAACCTTTAAAATATTCGACCACTGTGAGAATATGACGATTTTAACCGTTTTGTCTTCGTCTTTTAGCTTTATGATTTGCTCAACAATTGCTTCGATTTTTGATGTTGAATCGGTGAACCGATTTCCAGTATTTAGTGTAACGTAGAATACACTGCATTCACCAAACAGCAGCAATGATGGAGACGGGGGCAGAGAGATGAACATTTAAAAGACATTTAATAAATTACCCGAATAATAATACATTAATATTCTGTAGTCGATACGAACTTCTCTTTGTGTTGAAGATGTCGACAGATGTGACAGTTGAATTTCGCATTATATCGTAGCGATTGTTTCCATGTGATAAAGCATCGCATGCACACGTGGTGCCCGCACTCGAGTACAACGTACTGAAACAGAATAAAAAATCGTTCGAAAATTATTTTGCCCAAAACGGCAGACGGTTAATCAAATTTTTTTCACATCAATTCAATAAAATAATGAATTTGATGGCGACTAGCGATGGAAATAATGGTTATACATTACCTTGTGTTCAGGTTTCGTATTGCAAATGGGACAATCGTCGACAGTTTGGTTACTTTTCAAGTGGCTCAAATACTTTGATTGGCCCAATTTTCGAACAAAATTCAATTCGGCTTCTTTCAGTTGGTTCCTTAAATCTAACATACTTTCCTCCACCTGACGAAAGAGAAGAAATAGTTGTAGTTCAAAATTCCACTTCATCATATTTAATTTGCATCTATTTTTCAATCGGAGTGTGTTGAATGCAACGTGAAAATCACACGTCAAAATCAAGTCAAAACCCAAAATCCGCACACATATAGTATACTAAACACCAGTATTCATATGTAAATGAGCACATTTATTTTGAATGCCTACCTCGTATTTGGAAATAATCAAATTTGATTCCATTACAGATTCGTCTTGCAATTCGACCGGATCGACAGCTTGAGTACGTGTCTTACACATTTTCAATTCGTCATACGCTGATACAGTAAAGTTGACTTCAACCCATAAGCGACTGTATTCCTGCAATGTGTGAAAGTTTGTGTTTTTGTGCAAACGTCATAAGACACACACACGCAGAGAGAGAGAGAGAGAGATTCAAACCAACAACATTTTGCTGACTGAGATTACTCTCAATGCGCATGGGGTTGCTTGATTTGCAAGTGCTATATTTAGAATATACGATTGCATACCTTGCATTCATTCCGAAATGCCTCCATGAGTTGAAATAAAGTTTTGGCATCCTCTTTAAACTCAACATCACTTTGTTTTATGTGGTTAAAAATAACTGTTTGTGAAAATAAATTCAAAAATCAATGAATAAGTACATCTTTATAATTGTTAAAATGTGCACTTATTTTAACACTCACTGTGTAAAACTCGTTCTTGGTATGGCATTTTGTACGAGTATACTTCGCGTGTCTTGCCAATTTCAAGCTCTTTCACTTTGGCATTGGAAAGATGGTCAACAATAGCACTTTCATATTTTCGTAGCTGCTCTTTGGCTTCGCACATTTCGCATTGTTGATTTGTTTTTCGCTTTTTTGTGGACGGTTCTTTTTTCTCCTACATAAGCAAAACATTTAATGCAATCAACATTTAAAAATAGTCACGTCGATATATACCTCGTCTTTTTTATCCTTATCCTTCAAATGGCACTCATATGCTTCATTCAAAAATGTTTGCACTCTATCACGATGCTTTGCATCAATTTCGGCAACTGGCTTGAAATTGTCAATGTAAAATTGCATTTGCTGGAAAATTTGTTGAACATTTTCACGCTCCTCTAGCACTGTATCCATCCACATGGTCAATACAAAACATAATCCATCGATGCTATGAAATCTACGTACAAAATACACACATATTTTATATTTATCCCATTTATAAGTTGATATATAAATACTTCTGACTAATAGTCATCCAAATGGTTTTTCTATTCTTCGACGAATTCAGACAACAAATTCATACTCTGAAACCTACTCACCTCGGTAAAATTTCATCTAAACAACTCGGTCCTTGTCCCTTCATCGATCCATATGCCGTTTTGATATCATCATGGATGCGTGATAACAATTGATTCGAATCGTGTGGTTCATTTTTCAGTGCATTCAACCACCACTCATACTCATTACCCATAAATTTCGACTGTATCGTATCAATTTTTTCGATCCATTTCATTTGCTCCAAATGGCAATTCTTCACCAAACTCACATAATTCTCCAAATACTTTGCTTCTAATTTACTTAAATCCAATTGTAACGCGATACGCTCTTCACCACCGATCGCTGTATCGATTTGCAAGAGATTGTGAATGGCATGGATTTGTAGTAAGGTATCGACACTGTTTGCCAAATGAACACAAAAACGGGAGGAAAAAAAACGTGAAATGAAAATAAAAAATGTTTGAAGTTTTCGATTACATAATTGATATTTAAAAAATATTCGTTTTTCTTGTACCACGTTCAACGTATAATTTCCAGTGAGAATATGAGATGAAAAAAATCGTAGAAAGAAAATCAATTATTACCTGAATTCTTTTGAATTGTAATCGTTTGACAATCGCAAAACCTTTCGATATAATTGCATCGCTTCGTCATTCTTTTCGTTGATTAAATTCAAACCGGCCATTCCATTTAGGCACCAAGCAATTGTCCGTAGTTCGGATTTGGTTTCATTATCATTTTTCTTTATCAAATGCTTCATCAATTCGTCGGGTTTGAGATTTCGTTTTGTTGTGGTCATACGATCATATACACTTGGAATTGAACAATCTTGACGTAATTTCCGTAATGGTTCCAGCAGTAATTTTAACATGTGCGGATTTAATGTTGAAAGTTTTTGATATGAACCGATTTTCACTGAATTTGTGAAAAAATCTCTCGAGCATCGTTGATGCTCTTTGTTGTAGTAAAAGTTTTCCAAATCAGTCATATGCACATGATGTACGATTTCCGTTTGTTCTGGAATATTTATTTGATCCATAATCTCTTTTGTTTTACACGTTCGCCACATGATCTTTCGCAACACCGAAACAAGTAGCTTTACATCGCCATTTACATGGAATTCATTCAATAATTCATTCCATTTTTCTCGTTCATCGTATGGTGAACAAGATAGAAATGAAACCAATCCATATAAATCATCAATATGCTTTTGAATTGGTGTTCCAGAAATGCCCCAACGGTGAATGGCCGATAATTGAGCAACCATACGTGCCGGTTTTGTTATCGTCGAACTAACCATTTGAGCCTCATCTAAACAAACACGCCACCAATTTACATACAACAATGGACTTCGAACAGTTAAATAACGGGAGGGTCGACGCAATGTTCGCGATGTGGGATTGTGATTTGAGTAGTAAAATTCAGATTGCAATGTTGTATAATCAGCTAGTATAATATCATACGATGCCAACTCCATTGGATTTATCCAATTCGAATTTTTCATGCCTTCGTATACATAAACCTATAAATAAATTAATTGACAATGAAACAATACAAATGAAACAATAGCTAAATATATTTCACTTGGCCATCACCGCCAATGTAAACAGTTGCATTAAATATTAATAGATATAGTAATACTAAATTTGAAAGAATTCTTCTACGAGTTACTATCAAACAATTGGCCATCTCTTATTTTATTTTCAAACAATTTCATTTTTTAATTATAATATTTATCTTATTCAATTTAACATCTCCCAGGACATTTTATATAAAAATAATAGAAGCTTTGTACTATACACTGAATTGTATTGTAAACACATCAAATGAAACCAAAACTAACAAAAAAATGATGAAATTCTGGAAAAGTCGTCAAAATCGAAATGCATTTTCCGATTGAGAATCTCAACCAAATAAACAAATAAAAAACACGATGATATCGTAAATCTTTTGCGAAAATAAAATCAAAATGTATGTATTCTATATTGAGTGATAAAGAGTAGCATTAATCCAACAAATAATGTCCAAACGTCTATTAAATTCAATCAACGTAAACTACAAAATACCGTTAAAACTACAACACTCTTACTCACTCAACACATTTCTGTACGCCACTGCACTATACTTACCTTGAAATTTCCGTCACTGATGTGTTTAACGACCTCGTCTCTCCATTGCAATTTAATCGACGGAGGTGATACGATAAATGTTGTTTTTGCTTTCAATGGTTCTTCTTTTTGCCAACAAGTCGGACAAATGTAATGAGCATCGGGCGATGTTGGTGTGTCACGTTGTGTAACGCATATACGATGCTGTAACATGAAACAACGTGTACATGTTACTGTATCTTTCACTGCTGTTTTTGCACACAAACATCGTAGCTCACCAAAATAATCATCATTATCACATTGTGTTAAATCTTCAAAAAATGTGTACTGTTCGCTTTCATGTATTTTCCGTGGATTCAATAGAATCAAGCAGAGCATTTCAACCGTTTTGCCCAAGCCCATTGCATCGGCCAAAATGCCACCCGTTGGAATGGGAACATCTTCATTCTTGTTCACTTGCAATATCATTGTGCGTTCGCTGTAATAGAATGTTACAGTTTCGTTTGGTGAGGAAGACGGTGGCCAACGGCGATTAACTTTTTTGAATTCAGTTGGAAAATGGTCAATAACTAGTTCACGATTAAGCATCCATTTGACGCCATCGATTTGATGCGGTGTCAATCGTGTTCGGAAATCTTTGTGCTGAACATATTCATCGGAATAATTTTGCAATGGGCTAATATCACGATGTGCCTCACGCAATTGCTGATAGAAATCATCGATTATTTTAACCGGCAATTCGTCTGAATCTTCACTATTGACACTTTCATTGTCGTTGCCATCATCATCGACTTGCATTTCATCACTTGTACTTTCATTTTCATTGGACTCGGGTTCATTGGGCTCATCATGGATAATGGTCGCATCGTCGTCACCAAATAAATTCTCTTGTTCGATGATGAAAAATTGCTCAACCAAACGCTTTGTTGCCATCAAATAGCGGCCAATTCTGTTGCGTCTTTTCATTAATTGTGGCTGAAATAACAGCCACAATGAATTGGTTTCCGGTCCATCGTTGAACAATTCTAATTTGAATGCTGGCACACTTGCCACATCTATTCCGAGGAAAAAAAGAAGTTCAACTGTTAATCTTAACAGAAACGGAAAATTATTGTGAAATTCATACCTTTGAACACTTGTAGTATATCAATGTCAATTTCGAGTTTGAAATTTTCATTTTCGTAGAAAAACTCATTTTGATACACCTTCACTTGTCTCGAAGTGTTGTGTGATCGAATGCTTTTGCCAATTTTGGCAATTTTTACGCATTCCAACGACATATTTGCTTCTGATTTATTGTTGAAACATCGCGTAAAAAGTATACATAAACTGAATTTGTTTTATTGATACATGACAGTCAGCTTGGTTTGACAGTACATGTAAACTTATTTTTTTTTTTGTACTAACAACACAAAAGCGGCTGCATACTGTGCCACTGTCAACATAAAATACACATACAACAACAAACATAGATTGACATGAGATATTAAGCAGCGAGTGAATTGAATGAAATTCGTGATTTGATGTTTAAATAAATAAAATTGAAAATAAATGAAAAAAAAATGAATTTATTATTCGAAAAAAATTGCTACTAAATTATTTTGATTTTTTTTTTGTTTATTTTCAAATGGAACATTTTCAAACCGTAAATATTCTGTGTTGTAATAGAAATCTCTGCATTATCGACGTTATTTTTTTCTCAATGTCATCTGCTCAGCCAAAAGCATTTTCAACTGACAGTTACTTTTCGCGCCAAATATTTAGCTTTGCACACTGCATCCCATATTATTCTGTTGAGTTTTGTTGTTAAGCGGGAATCATACAACGAATACTATTCAGTTTTTTTATTTTGTTTTTAAGTTTATTTCGTTTGAAATTTCGTGCAGAGTTTTTAGTTGAATCTAACCCAAATAAATTATTTAAAAAAAACGATTTTGAAGAAGAAAAATACGTGAAAAAGTATGTCAACTCCAAATGAAAATGGTACACCATCGAAACGGGTTCGTGTTGAGAGCACTGGCTCTGGATCAAGAACACCCGGCCGTGATCCGATAACACCATCACGCCGAACACGATCTGGCTCCCAACAAACACCATCGCAACAACTTTTGCGAACACCAAACCGAAACCGTAAGTGATCAACAAGTTGCATTACCATTAAAACTGAAAATGTGCGGATTTTGCTAACTAAAATTTATTACGCATTAACAGAAATTCCACAACAAGATGTTGAAACGCCAATGCGTATTGGTGGCAATGTTCGTGGAAGTGTTGATGGCGGTGTAAGTGTTCGTGTTGCTAACTCGGATATTCCATCGTCGCCAATTGTACCATCGACCAGTCCGGGTAATACAAGCGTTCGTATGCAAGACATTGATTTGAGTTCACCGCTTAATTATGGCACACCAAGTTCAATGGGTTCAATTCGTACGCCCAGATCGGGTATTCGTGGTACACCAATACGTACACGGCCCGATATTCGTACCGATCGACATCTTCGACAAGTTAACATCGGTTCGGACAATGTAAGTTCTTATTGTGGTTGTTGTTGTTTTTTTTTTTTAATTTTCATTTGGTCATTTTTAAAATAGAGTTGCACAATGAACATTCTTGAAAATAGCAGTTCAATTGAATAAAAGTTTTGATTAAATTTATGTGCCTCTTTTCGCAGCTCGAGCCAATTGCCGAAGGTCGTTCGGATTCGGCACCGATTAGCGAAACAACGCCGCAGCTTGTCATTTGGGGTACAAATGTTGTGGTCAGCGAATGTAAGAAAAAGTTCACACAATTTTTATTGCGTTACATCAATTTGGATGTGGCTCAAGACGAAATGTCCGAAAATATAAATTTGAGTGAGCCACTCTATATGCAAAAATTGGAAGAAATTCATTCATTGGAAGAGCCATATTTGAATATAAATTGTAAGCATTTACAAACATTCGACGAAATGCTGTATCGCCAATTGATTTGCTATCCACAAGAAGTGATACCAACATTTGATATGGCCGTAAATGAAATGTTCTTTGAACGTTATCCGGCCGCTATTTTAGAGCATCAAATTCAAGTGCGACCATTCAATGCTGATAGAACACGTAATATGCGCGCATTGAATCCTGATGACATTGATCAATTGATTACGATTAGCGGTATGGTGATTCGATCATCAAATATTATTCCAGAAATGCGTGAAGCATTCTTCAAGTGTATCGTTTGTTCATTTACAACAAGCGTTGAAATTGATCGTGGCCGTATTCACGAGCCAACCATTTGCTCAAATTGTAATACAAACCATTGTTTCCAAATGATTCACAATCGTTCACAATTCACCGATAAACAATTGGTTAAATTGCAAGAATCGCCCGATGATATGGCCGCCGGTCAGACACCGCACAACGTTTTATTATTTGCACACAATGATTTATGCGATAAAGTTCAGGCTGGTGATCGTATCACCGTTACTGGCATTTATCGTGCCATACCAATACAGGAAAATCCACGTGCCCGCAATGTTAAATCCGTTTATCGTACGCACATCGATGTCGTGCACTATCGCAAGATTGACATGAAACGATTGTACGAAGAGGAAGAAGGGTATGTAAGAATTTGCTTCAAACAAAAAATATCACTCTTATGATAAAAAGATAGAAAAAACAGTTCCATTAAGTTTATTTCATTGAATTTTTGTTTGAATTCCAACAATTTTAAATTCAATTGTTTTGATGATAAACAATCAAACTTCTTTCGTTGTTTCCATCAACTAAAATGTTTTATGTGTTTTTTTTTTCTTTAGCAAAAGTCACATCTTTCCACCGGAACGCGTTGAATTGCTACGCAATTTGTCACAAAAGCCCGATGTGTATGACCGTTTGGCTCGTGCCATTGCACCGTCCATCTATGAAAATACCGATATCAAAAAAGGAATTCTACTGCAATTATTTGGTGGAACAAAAAAGACCCATGTGTCACTTGGACGTCAAAACTTTCGATCGGAATTGCATCTATTGCTTTGCGGTGATCCCGGAACATCAAAATCACAATTGCTTCAATACGTCTACAATTTGGTGCCACGTTCACAATACACATCTGGACGTGGTTCGTCTGCTGTAGGTCTAACCGCTTATGTTACAAAAGATCCAGAGACGCGACAACTTGTTTTGCAAACGTAATTATCTGTCATCGATTTCTTTCATTCTTTTATATGCTTGCATATCGTTTAAATATAATGATCAGAGTTTCTGTATACACATTGATTGTTTGAAATATTCAATTTAAATTATTTCATCTTGAATTATTCAATTGACATATTTTCCCATTTTTGATGAAGTACTTGTGGTGGAAAATATGAAGAATGAACTATCATAAATGAATGAAAACTTTTCTATTTATACGAAAAAAAAATCTCATTTAATATTTACAGTGGTGCATTGGTATTGGCCGACAATGGTATTTGCTGTATCGATGAATTCGATAAAATGAATGATTCAACACGTAGTGTATTGCACGAAGTGATGGAACAACAAACATTGAGCATTGCAAAAGCTGGTATTATTTGTCAATTGAATGCGCGTACATCAATTTTAGCTGCTGCCAATCCATCGGAATCACAATGGAATAAAAATAAAAATATTATTGACAATGTTCAGTTGCCACATACGCTACTGTCGCGTTTCGATTTAATTTTCTTGATTTTGGATCCACAAGACGAGGTGTTCGATCGACGTTTGGCATCGCATTTAGTTTCATTGTATTATGCCACACCACAAGATGAAGAAGATACATTATTTGTGAGTGATACTGATTATATTCACTTGATTAATTCATGAGTCGATTTCGTTTTTCCTGAGATCCCATTGAATGGAGCAAGCAACAAGTTAATCAAAATATTTTATTCTCTCTCTCTCTCTCTCTCTCTCTCTTTACCCTTCTCTGTGTCTCACTCCATTTTGGAATTGGATAGGACATGAGTGTGTTGCGAGACTATTTGGCATATGCAAAAGACCATATTCATCCAACATTGTCCGATGATGCACAACAGCGTTTGATTCAGGCATACGTTGATATGAGAAAAGTGGGTGCTGGACGTGGTCAGATTTCTGCTTATCCACGTCAATTGGAGAGTTTAATTCGTTTGGCCGAAGCACATGCCAAAGTTCGTCTCAGCAATGTCGTCCAAATTGAAGACGTTGAAGAAGCATGGAGGTAAGATAAAAACCATTCAACAAAGAAACATATCCCATTTTCCCATTTCAATTTTATTTCATTTTAATTGAATAAAATAATAAAAAAAAAATAATTCAATTAACGAAATGAACAAACGTACACAAATTGCACCAGTACGAGCAACAGCAATTTGTAAATGAAAATACATTTTGTATACGCTTATATTCCATGCATAAATAATTCAGAATGTAATTTCTCCCATTTTACTATCCCCTTTTGCAAAAATTCAGATTGCATCGTGAAGCCTTAAAACAATCGGCAACGGATCCGTTGTCGGGTAAAATCGATGTTGGTATTCTAACGACCGGTTTGTCGACGACAGCGCGTAAAAAGCGAGCTGATTTGGTGGCAAACATTAAGGATGTGCTAAAGAAGAAAGGCAAAGTGCCAACGGTTTCGTGGAACAAACTTTTCGCCGAATTGCGAGAAAATTCACAGATTGTAAGTATAGTTATACCAATGTAATAGAATATATATATTATTTTTAGTCTTTCCTCTTTTCATTTTATTTTCTCAAATATCATAAAATCATTTGGTATTTTTATACATTTTTTCTTGGTAGGATGTTCAATAGTCATATACATATATTATATGTGTTTTGGCCTTTCTATGCCTTCCATATAAGCCATGGTCAATTGTTATTCAACATTCGTCACGGTTCAATTGCAATGGCATTTAACCAACAAAGACATAGTGTACTACAAACACTAACACACCACCACCACCACCTTAAATCTCACATTGAAAATGAGCAAAAGAAAAACTCCATGCAAAACGGCATACAATAAACAGAATCTCAGCACTTTTGTAATGATTTTGTGCGCTCTTTTTGTATGTTTCTTATTTTTTTCCGGATATTTTTTTTTTGTTATTTATTTTTCAGACGATTTTTGTGTATTGAAGCAACTGAAACTTGTTTCTTTGTGTTCAATTTTCGCATAAGCATGTTCATGCACACATAGTTCCATTTGAGCATGGCTTTGTGCTGTAAGCGTGCAAGCAATTTTCCATATTCCATGAGTGTGTGTGTGTAAGAGAGTGTTGTGAGATGCTCCATGTCTTGCTGTGGATAACGAAACATTCTCTAATGTTTTTCATTGTTCTATCCTATTCGTCTTCCAGGTAGATAAACTGAGCAACAACAAAAATGACTTTAGTAAACATAAAACTGACCCAGTGATCGTTAAATGTCGGTTTTTTCTTCTTTTCTCTTTCGTGTTCTCTCTAACATTCTGATGAATATACAGAATCGCATTGTTTCTTAAGGTTTTCTTTATTTTTCTGTTGAAAACATTTTATGACTATGCTAAAAAAGAAGAGAAAAACTAACCGAAATTTTCTGTCTTTTCATTGCATCGAATCCCTCATTAGCCGATTGGTTATTTTATGATTTTCAGATGAATTGTTATTCATTTGTTTTTATATTCTTTTCTTTTTTGCAGCTAATTCAACGTGATGAATTCGAAGATGCACTTAAAGAAATCCAAGATGAAGGGATGATTGTTGTAATGGGCAAAAATACCATTCGAATATGCTAGACCAAACCGAATGGCCGATAAAAATCCACAAATAAACTGAAAATAAATTCACCATAAGAACACATCTCATTTTCCATTGCAACAAACTCAATTTTTGTTTTTCATTCATAAGCTAAATATTAAAACATCGTTAGGAAAGTTTTGTGTTTAGAAGCACGTTAGTTTTAGTATTTTATATGTTAAGTTTCTCGCATTTGCAAATTTGTGAACCAATTTCATTCTGCTTGTTCATTATGATTTTTTTTATTATGCGATTATCATCAGCCAAGACGTACAACTTTGATTATTATACTTGCTGAACAACTTTTTTTTCTATTCTACTTTTAAATCAATAAAATGAGTTTTTTTTTTGACAATATGAAAGGTAAAGCATTTTTTTTTACTTTGACTTTTGAATTGAAGAATTTGTTAGCACTTTTTTCAGCATCATGGAAATAGAGAAAGAAGAACATTTTTTCTTTGTAAAATATAATATCGAATTTATGATTTAATGCTTGACTACATTTCAGACGCATAATTCATATCCAGACCACCACCATCACCATCATCAATAAGACAGAAGTCTGTCTATCTAAAATGCGAGATAAGAATTGATTAGGATGCTTTTGCAGAATTAGATTACAGTAACAAAAAAAAAAACGAAATGAAGCAAACAAAATTATTTAGTTAGTTACATAAATATTTGAAGATGCCACATTTAAACAGCATGAAATATAATGGTGATGAAAATCAATTTAAGCAACAAATATCAATTTGTATTTGAGGAATTCTCATTTGCTTAAGGTTTTGTGTTTGCATGATTCGATTACTGTTTTCTCGTTACATTTTACATTTCATTAACTTGTTTGTATTTAATTTGCAAAGTGTAAGACTGTGTTTCATAATTATTTTGAGACAACAAATGATGCAAAGATGAGCTGAGGTACGTGGTGCAGAACGAGAGAAAGGATATGAAATTAACTATTGGGTGAAAATGAGAGAATAAATAAAAAATGGGTGATGCTCGCTGTGCGGCTTTTGTTGCAATTCATCAATAGAGAAGCATTTGTGTATATATAACTCTCTCTCTCTCTGTGTGTGTATGTGTGTGTACGCTGTCGTTAGATTTCATCGATACATTTTTGTTCGGTTCTTCGTTTTATTTCACTCGAATTCGTTTCTACTTTATTTTGCTGTTGTGTTTGGTCATTGTTTCAGCGTTCGGTTTTCTTCTTTTTTGTTGTTTTCGTCTCTTTTCCTCATTCACATTGTTTCATGTGCATTGCATTCGCGCGCATTTTATATCCATGAAGAGAAAGGAAGAGACATAGAGAGAGAGAGAGAGAGAGAGAGATTTTTTGTATTTGTGTGAGCTTTGTTCATTGTTTGTTAGTTTATATCGTTCTGTTGATGAAATTCTTGGAAATGAGGAGCTCTCTAAAATGTAACTCAATGTGCGCGCATTATATTCATTTTGTGCCCATTTTCGAGATTTTCAGATTTAATTTTTGTTCTCCTCTCACCCTTACATTCACCACCATCCGATGCATGCTCAATGGCATTTTGTTAAATAGAAACTCATTGTTTGGAACGACGAAATAAATATCAAACTGATGCATCAACCAAACAAATAATGTGTACCACACATACATATATCGTTTTTGACGCTAGCATTACTGGCCAATTATGACAAGGGCAACAACAACAACAACAGCAACTAGATCTGAACAATGTGCGGTTTTGTCATTTCATTAGCATTGATATTCGTAATTCAATTGCAATATGGATGCTTCGACAAATATTTGTAATTTACAATCTTTACATTAATTCTTCTCTTTGTGTCATTTTCAACCTGGATTTACAGCGAGCAACTTTTTCTTCAACAAAAGATGAACTTTAAGTAAGTATTCTTCTTGAAAATGATGATCTATCGTATTTTTTTTTCTTTCATTTCATCTGAACATTAATATCTGAGTTGTGTTTTTTGCACGTTTGGAAAAAAATGTTCTCTCGTCTATTTCTAGTTTGGTCGACGTGAAAAAGTGCAGAATTTCGACAAATTATCTGTACTTCAACAGTAAGAGCGACACACAAAAAATACAAAACTCGGCAAATTATTACCGACTCTAATGAATACTTTATTCATCAAGATAAAAACTTTTTTTGAATAGAAGATAAAAGTAATTATAGGGAGAAAACCGCACAATATTTGCGGCGCCTCACACAAACATATATAACTAAGAAGAAAACCACCCCCATTCCCAAAAAGGCTCAACAAAATGCCATTTTTGCTTCGATTTCTCGTCTTTTTCTTCCAAAACGCTATTACTAGATTTTTTTCTGCTTTTTTTATTGTGTAGATAGTCGCTTGATGCTTATATTTTTAGAGATCGTTTTTTTATTTGAGTTTATGACTTAGCTATGAATCGGGTGTGTAACATAAGCAATTTGAATTTGACCAGAGAAAGAGAGTGGTCTATATTTCTTTCAAACGTTAAACATTTCAAAAGACATTTAAAAATGAACACTAATGAAAACATCTGCGTCAAATTTGGAAGATATGTACGAATTTTTTTCTCTATTTCTCTTTTTTAACGTTCGCTACCGAGAAATCCACTTGAAGCAGTACTTACAAAACCCTGAAATTCGTCCTTTTTTCGAGTGGCCAAAACTATTTTTCCGTCTTGTTTAAAAGAAACTCTTTTCTTTTTCTTTTTCATTTACATGAAGATTTTCTTAATATTATGTTTCTTTTGAAGAGCATTCATAAGAGTCATTTTCATTAGCTACTACCTATATAGCCAACATGAATGGCAACAATTCTACAAATTTGCTACCAAACCTGCTTTTGAAAATAAAAAAAACGGAATAGAAGAAATGTGAAATCTATAAAATCGTTAGTTATTTTTCGGACTGAGAGCTGCTCTACACTTCATTCATTCTATTTCTTTTAATAGGATGGTAGTCTTTGTGTGTGTGTGTGTATGTGCATAATCATAGCGGCGGGTGTTTTTGATAGCGCGTGCGTTTTTATTGAATTAAATATTTAGCACTTGAAATGGATTGAAGTTGATTGAAAAAGACGGGCTTTCTGTTTCTCTTTTCATTCTCGGCTATTTTGTGTAGATATATTGATGAATTGCAATTATTATTGGATTCGATCAATAAGGGGCTCAAAGAACGGTTCAAATTAAAATACAAGACCCATTTCGAATCGATCACATAAGCCGAGTGTATGGCATCGAATTTGTGATTGTGTATGTATGCAAGAGAATATTACGTGCATGTTTGAATGCATTGCACACCCTCCAACACTATATTCTGAGTTAATACACCCGCTATCACGATTTCTATATGTCAGGCTCAGGGTGTTTGTTATTTTTTATCCCGAAATAATGACAAGAAATGCTCAATTTTTATTCAACACTCGCAACAAACACTCACACATACATATATCTATATAAAGAGCATATTTGTTGTGTAAATTTGGTTTGCGACATGTTCAAAGAGCCCAGCAACAAAACGATTTATCCATAATACACACACGATATCCAAACATTGCCCATGCATACAAATAATAATACGATACGATTTTCAATTGAATGCAATCAGCACCGTCTTGATATGCACACACGAGACGTGCATACACCATCTAGTTTACTAAATGTACTCGATATATGCGGTGTCTGTGTGTGCATTTGGTGTCTAATCATTTTAATGATTTGCTCTGTATAGTTTAGGCTTTATAGTTTTTTTTCTGTATGTTCATGATCTTACTCAATAGTCTGCATGCGATGCAACAACGATGACGGCAAAATGGTGTAGTAATACGAGCAACGTTAATGTGGTGCACTACGAACAAACATCCCAGCGAGATAGAACGATAGATATAGAGAAAATGAACGATCCGAGATTTAAATATGCTTCTCATCATACATAGTCAGTATGCAGGTAGTGAGTTTTTCGGAGGGAGAGAGACGGAGAGAGAGAGAGAGAAAACGAGAGAAAATTGAAATTCGATTATTCGCGTTTAACAACAACACACAATCTCGTATCGAACGCTGAATTGTGTCTCAAAAAGAATGTGTGTTGCATATTGTATTTCATCTCTGCGTTGAAATATTTTCTCAATGCGGAGAAAACAATAGGCATTCTAATTTGAGAGGAGACTTGAGCTCATGAAAAGTGGAGCTATTGTTCGTGCTTGTTTTTTTAACTTTATTTTTCGAAAATTCAAAACTCATCTCTGCTTCAACTTGTATTAATTGATATTTGAATATAATTGTTTTAGTTTCAATTCGAAAGAATGGAAAGTTTTTGAAACAAAAAAAAACTAAACATCAACTGAATGGAAATGATGCTTCAGTATAAATCAAATTCAATGTATTTTCGTTGCATATTTGAATGAATCGAAAGAAGAAGAAAAGTTTTCGTGTCGTTGCTCAACATATATGAATTTGTGTTGTGCCCTTGTATGTGTATAGGAAACGCGCGCAAAAACAAGCAGGCAACGCATTTGGCAAACGATAGGTTCAGTCAACAAAAATACCACTCAATTTTTCAACTTTCAATGTTACACATCGTCGATATGTTTTCCATGAGTTTGTCTATGTTTTCAGATCCCTTATTTTCGGTGCAGTTTTTCGGTGAATGCATTTGATTTGAAATAGAATAGAGTGAAAGCAACGCATCAGAAACCATATACCCATAAAGAGAAAATTGAACAATTTTTAGGGGTTCATTCTATTGTAGGTATAATAAATTCTTAGCTAAAAACAACAACAACTACAACGGTAGTATGGTTGGTGTGCGAGGCTAATATACACGACGACAAAACACAAGGCCAGAGAGTGAATATGAGCAGTATTGTGATGATAGAAAAAGAGAACTAGATGTAGGCTCACATTTGATGGTAAACTGACTCGAGACAAATATAGACGAAAATAAAAAAAAGGGCCAAAAACGTTTACAAACGAATCGTTACAACACCGACTTCTATCGTCTCGAACAGAGAACGAACAAAAAATATCTAATGCATACGAACAAACGCATCAATTTCAAGCACAAACACACAGAGGCAGACACATTTAAATAAGCACACATACATATAAGTACACACACAACGAAAGTGCACCGAATAACGACCATAATATTGACGCACTACGTGCTCAAGAGAACCGATAACGATTAGAAGATTTACTTATTTTTGTTACTTTCGGTGCACACATTTTTCTTCTATGCGTCGTTTATTCTCTTTCACTGTATGCCTGAGCCAAAATGTACTAGTTGCATCTCTTTTCCGTCGCTTGGTCACAACACAGTTGTCATTAGCAAAATCTTTAATTCCGCATTCTTTTCACTTTCATTCTCTGCCTCTCTTGTGTGATGTGTATGTGCGCGTCTTTTTTGTTTCTCGTTCTCACTTCGACACTTGTACTTGATTGTGTTGGTACATCAAATGTATTTATGTGTGTATTGTGTATTTTTTTTCATCGTCCAAACGTTCTGTGTATATAGAGACTATGCACTTGGAAACGATAGTTAGTTCAGTTCTGAAAATCATATGGCATTCATCGTGCTCATAATTTAAGTCAATTTATATATGTATATTTCAGTTTAGTTTTTTTTTTCGTTTAAATTTTATTTTTATTTTTTCAAATCGACAAGTTTTTGAAAACAAAAAACGTTACGAAATAGACAATTTTCACTAAAATTTACTGAAATTACATAGAAAACGAATGTTGTAACAAAACTATTAAAACGAACGTGGACATTCAAGTGCGGTATTTGTTTCATATTTCTTCCGTTTTTTTTTTGTTTGTTATTTTCGGTTTTCAACTTTCCATAATTTCTTTGCTTGTAACTTTTGTGTGCTTCTTTTGAAATCTGTGGGAATAAAAATCGCGCAAAAAATAAATGTATGTACAAACTAACGGAATAGAAAAAAACACCGACTGAAAAAAATGTGCTTCTGCGACCAGAGTCAGCAGTTCTAATATTGCGTCTTCATGCAAAATGCAAATTCCCGTTAAACGGCTATGAGTGAGAAAAAGAAGTAATAGACAGTAACGGCGCATATTTAAACGACTAAAACGATTCGCTTTTTATCATCTATTTGTTATACGGTAAGTAAAAAAACTTATTATTTCGTCTCTCCGGCACAATTTATTTAAAGAGAGTGGCTTTTTTTTCTTTGAAAGTCAATTTAAAAATAAAACTAACAGAGATAGACAAACAGAGTTGCTCTCTGACAAAAAGAAGCATGAAGAAAAAAAATTGAAAATAAACTTTTTCCATGCTGCATCGCTCTATCGAATGTGATTTGAGCTCCCGCATTTTTTTCGTATTTTTTTTTCGTATCATTCGCATGCTCGTATTTTCGATATTTTTCTGGCGAATTCGACAAATTTAATCGGTGCATAAACCTCGGCTATGTATCAATATAGTTAAGTGCTAAGAAAAAAAATATATATTCATACAAAAACGAATTATTTTGTATTGTTTTACACATAGATCTTCAATCAGTTTTCAATTTGGACAATACACGGACGCGCACACACACACACAGAGGGAAAGAAATTGGTAAGACCAGCGGAATGATGAGAAACTGAAAATACCGGTAAGTTTAATTTCATTTTTTTTTTTAATTTTTGCATGCTCTCCATATGATTTCATTTTTTTTCATATTTTCTAAGAAATCATTTAACATAATTTACAAACAAAATGATCAATTATCTGTTGCGTTTGTCGGTGTACATGTACTCTCTTTCGATTCGAAAAACCTAGAAAAATTCGAGTGGCAGACTACTGAAAATTTTCGAAAATGTATTTCTTTCTATGTTTTTATTTCGTTGTTGCCGCTGCCACCAAATATACAGTTGAGCCATGCGCATCGTTTGTTTCTCGATTCAAACGGGAAAATATTCGTGTAATGCAAGTCATATTAGGCGTTAACGTCTAACATGTGTTTTACTTTTCCGCACACACCTAGTGTGTAAGGTAAAGTATTGGAATCGGTCGAAAAATTAACACCCTCAAAAAACATGTTTATGAAAGCCATGCCTGTATGATATCGTAATGAGCTGAAACTTTGCACAGGTTATTTTTATCACACAAAAATGCCATTCCGAGAGTTTGAAGAAATTTCAACGCATATTAGGGTATCTCCCGAATAAAATTTTGGATTTTTCGCTCAAAAACGAAATTTTGTATGGGAAGTACCCTTAATATGCATTGAAATTTCTTCAAACGTTCAGAATGTTAACTTTTTCACATGATTACGATATCATATAGGCATGGCTGCGATACAAAAGTTCCCATTTTTAGTAGTTTTTTATGAAAAATGCTTCGAAAATTATTTGTATCGTAAAAATAATGTCAGATTCAGTTTTCTCGTGAAATCTTTGAGTAAAAGATTTGTAATAAATGCATGTTGTGGATCACGGTGCGGAAAAGTTCATCTTACGGATGTAAGACATTTTATTTTTTTGTCTTTTTTCCCGGATGTGGAATCTGCCAAAGATATCAATGGTGAGATGAACGATTAGCATGCACGATTCTAAACCACACCCTTGCACACTCTCCCCGCGGAACTGCCGTTAGGTATTACATCGCAGGGCTGGTTAGCATTTTATGCTTGTCTCTCCATTGTTTTTCTTCTTTGTTTTTCGGCTATGCAGAGCTCCTTTTGTACATTTTTGACAAAATTTAGGGTGTTTTGCCTAGTGTGTGTGTTTGTGTTATCAGTTAACATAAACCCCACATTTCCTCAAATCTTTTTCGGCTCGATATAATTTTTATATATTAACTTTTTATTTTATCTTTTTCAATCTATTTTTTAAAAATACAGAAAATATGGGTCTATTTCGTCGATTGAGAAGAGGTGTGTATTTTGTTAATTTATTTTTTCTTTGTGTTGTCTTATATATATCTATATATACATATTAAACCAGTTAGGCCCAAAATCTACAAAACTTGTGAAGTTCTAAAAAAATGTATTGTCCGTCTCAAATTAGGTAAATTTTGACCATCTCTTTATAGGTTTAGATAGACGTAAGGTTTTTAGAAAAGAAAAAGTTCAAATTATGTTAGTAAAAGTTTATTTTTGAAACAATATTTTTTCCCCCCAAAATGTGCCGTTGTTTGAATGATCAATGCTTTGAATCAGATTATTGAAAAAATTGTTTTTTTTACTCAGGGTCAGGCGTCAATCACATTCAAAATAATCAAGTTCAAGAAACTATTAATCAATTGCAAGACCAAGTTGAACTATTGAACACCGAAAATCAACAATTGAGAACCGAAAATCAACAATTGAGAACCGAAAATCAACAATTGAATGAAAAACAACGTTTTTCGAGTTCAGAAATATCTCGTTTGAACCAAAACTTAAATTGGGCAAACAAACTTATAGCAAAACAAGAAGAAGCTCAGCAAAAACAAGAAGAAGCTCAGCAAAAACAAGAAGAAGCTCAGCAAAAATACGAAAAAGCTCAGCAAAAATACGAAGAGACGGTAAATTCTCTTAAAAAACGAATCGGGGAACTAGAAGCAAAAATTGCTCCACCAAGTTCTCCAGCAGACAGCTCAGATTAAAAAAAGTATTTGCTGTTCCGTACAAAATGAGTAGTCTATTTAATCCAGGGTTTACTGCACCCACACCGAATATATTCGGTCCAATTGGTTCACATTTATCATCAAGAATCTCGGTTTCATCATCACCAGGCAGTAATTATAGCATTGATCATGTTAATGCAGAACAACAACAGGTACCACTGACACAAAATCATTGCTTCGGTGCAATTGGTGCACAATTGAGTGCAAATTTATCATCATTTAACGATTTTGCCGCAAGTTTAAAATTCAACACCAGCAGTTCCTTTTTGTTCAATCCAAATGTATGCGGTAGTTGTGAACGTTTTACACCAGAAAATCATTGTTTTGATTGCAGCGACAGTTTATGCAATCAATGTCTTGCTTTGCACATGCGTCATTTCGCAAACAAAAATCATACAATTCAAAGGATCATTGGACCACAAAATTCATTCAATCGTATGCCACGATTGCCATCACCATGTCATCTTGACGCTGAAAATCGTTGCAATATTCACTATGAAGAATTGCGTTATGTTTGTGAATCATGTAAGAATCTAATTTGTCAAGAATGCTCATTACGTGATCATAAGGAGCACCGTTGTACTGACATTCCCCAGTATGTCGATCAACCAATGAAAACGATTCAAGAACTTATGGAAATTGCCAGCGCTGGCAAGCATCAAATAAAAAAATGTATCGATCGTGTTATGAAATTTTCGCACTATCTGGATCGCGATGTTCATGATATTTTACAGCGTAGTCGCAAGAATAGTATTCGCGCAACAAACGGATCAATCAACAATGCAATTTTACGTTGCGAAGAAAAAGATCATGCATTTGCTGAAACTATTGAGAAATTCCGTCAAAGCAAAGGTGCCATTTATCTTGATCAATCAAGTAGTCTTCGTGCTGCGTTGGCCGGTATTGCAGCCGTAACCGATGATTTGAAACGTATCCGTAAAGTGATGAACGAATTTACAACATTTGATTTAGCTAAAGCATTAATCGATGCTGATAATAAAATCGATCATTTTATGAAACAAACAAGCAAATTGAATCCTTCACCAGTAAATGTACAACAATATTTAATTTCACTTGAACGAAGCAAAGATCAACCACAACAGCAACTCGTTCCCGATTTAGAACATTTGCTACAAAACAATGGTACCATGTTACATCCAGATATTGCCGCACTCGTTGCAGGCACCAGTCATATGAGTCTTATGCCAAATAATACACCGAAACCAGGACGGCGTCCAATAGTTCGTTCCAATCGATCAATATATCAAAATAATGGTCCGCAAATATTGCTGCCAACATCATTTGGCGCCGGTTTATCAACATCGACAATTTCACCGTGGTCAAATGGTTTATCATTGGGATTGCCAATGGTTAGTAATGAGCACATGAATCGTTTGCCAAATGAAGCAACGTTCCAGCAAGGTTATGTCACTTTCAATGCACCACAACCACAATTCGCTATAAATATGTTCAATATCAACGATGAACCACCAGCTTTTGGTCATTGCATTTTTAATTATGATGGTTCAGTTACGGCCGTTCGTCGCAATGAGCCTAGTTTATCATTTGCATATGATGGACCGCTCGAAGGACAATTGAGCCGACCATGGGGGGTTTGCGTCGATAAAGATGGTAGCATCATAATTGGTGATCGTCGTAATAATCGTATCCAGGTATTTTATCCAGATGGTACATTCAAATTTACGTTTGGAACAAAAGGCACTGGCGATGGTGAATTAGAATTACCAGCTGGTGTGACAACAGATCGATTAAATCGCATTATTGTTGCCGATAAAGATAATCATCGCGTTCAAGTGTTTTCACCAAGTGGTCGTTTCATTTTGAAATTTGGCACCTACGGACGTGACCTTGGTGAATTCCAATATCCATGGGATGTGGCTACCAATTCGAATGGTCACATTTTGGTCACCGACACACGAAATCATCGCATTCAAATGTTCACATCGATGGGACATTTCATTACAAAATATTCATTTGAAGCATATTATGATCGCCATTTAAAGAGCCACATTACACCGAGAGGCATTTGCTTTACACCAGAAGGAGATATTTTGGTCACAGATTTTGAAAATCATCGAATCATGAAAATGGATGGAAATTTAACGACGGTAAGTGCACATTTTTAACACACCAAAAGATAGAACAAAAAAAAAAACTGAGCCTGACAAAAAGCAGCAAAATAATACATTTTTTTTCCTTTTATGATTCCAATTTAGGTGAAGCTAGTGCGCGGACACGAAGGTGAACATGAGGTGAACGAGTTTAACCGGCCATCGGGCTTATGCTGTGATGATAAGGGTCAAGTCGTTATTGCGGATTCGAAAAATCAACGTGTGTTGGTATATAATTCCGATTTTGAGTTCAAATGGATGGTAAGTCAATACATTGTAAACATTGAATTCAATTCGATGATAAAATCCATTTGAAATGGGCATCGATTGTTTGTAAATAATTAATTTTGTTAAATCCAATTTAATTTTTCCCATTTATTTCGATTCCCTTTCTATCTTGTTTTCATTTTATTACATTTTTCATTGCATTCTGAAGAATAGAAAGCTATAAATGATTTTATTTATGTGTGCTTTTTACTCTTTCTTTAGTTGGATTTGCGTCGTTCATTATCCGAGTTAAATAATGAAAAGGATCGTCCGAGCGATGTAGCTATTTTACCGGATGGTCGTATTGTTGTGCTGTTCGAAACGTCTCCAGACACAAAAGATTTTCCGCATCCACTAAAAACTTTTGTTCAAATTTACTAAACGCAGACACACACTAAATGAGGATAATTGGTGATATCTTTTTCTATTTTCCACTGAATTGACAAATAGGTAAAAGATAAAGAATATCAAACTTTGAAATTTATTATTATTATTATTCTTTTTTTGCATTTCGACGATGAAAGATAAAACTAAAAACGAAAAAAGCCATGCATCCTTAATGCATATATTTGAATCAGTAAGGTATTGAGAAGTCAATCTTATGTACCTGTATAATAGGAATGAACATGTAGTATATGAATGAGCTCGTATTGTATCACTCTAGTGAATTTGATTGCAACTGTATTTTGAAAAGGAAACAAAAAGTATTCTGTTTTTTAAAGTAAATTGTTTGGAGGAAAAAGACTGAAGCAATATATAACTAGGTGCATACATAGATTCAATTATTGACATTATATAGGAAATGATACAAATTTAAGATTAAACAAATGAAAATTGTATGTTTTGTTTGATAGATTACATTTTTTTCGTGTTCTATTAATTTTTCGTGTAAGATCATTGATATTTTCTTTGTGCAGCAAATTGCCATACTGATGTTTTTATGTGAAATATCTTTTCTCATTTTATATGTAAATTCACAAAGAAAAATTACATAAATAAGTGTGTAAATTGATATATATCTTTATATACAATTATAAATCAAAAATCAACAAAATAATATAAAGAAAGAAAAATGCAAAAATTGTGAAATAATGACGATGACAATGTGTGTAATAATAACATACGAAATAAAATGTAATTGATGTGTTAGTAAAGAACCGTATTATATTGTGAAATACTAAATTAAGTGGAATTATGAAAGACTGCATATTTTAAACGTTAGAAATAATTGCAATGATCAAGAGATATTTTAAGAGACTGAACAGTTTTTACACTGAAATGGACATACAAACCACCGATTATCAAATTAATTATTAAGAGAACTTCGTGCACGTTCTGATGATATGTAACGATCATGTTGCATCAATGAGATTAAAGATTTGATCATGCAAATCTTAAAATTCAGACAAACACATGTTATGATTAGAATCTATTTTTATCTCATTTTGTTCAATATTTTAGATAGAATGTAGTGGCGATAGAATAACAAAAAAAATCCCTTTACCTTAGACATTATTGTTCTTTTTTTTTGTCGATTTAGAAATTCTTAAAGTTCCTTCCGAAAAAGCAAAATTATATACATTTTTAGAGAGAGAAAATGACTGAGAATTTTAAAATATTTGCTACAGGAGGCCTTTGAGTATTTTACAAATTAGCGTTTTATATGAATAGGACCATTTTAATATTATCAAATTGAATTTTTATTCAATATATTTTATTTACATAGATTAAACGAGAAAAATAATGCCACCATATCGGTCGGTTTGACTTAGAAAAATTGCCTAAGAGATATAAATACGGGTAGCATTTAAATGCAATGCACAGTATGATATTTTTAGTAATAAAATTTAGTATTTTATACCTGATGATTAGAATTAATTGTTCTACATATATTTAGTTCGAGTTTCATCGAATTCGGATTGATGATCGACATATACAACGAATTTCAAGCAGTATGATAGTTCAAAAAAATGCCATCTTACCAGGTTGCTTAAACCAATTTTATGATTAGAAATGAATAATATCTATATTTTATACAAATGCTTTTTTCGTGGCTTTTTTTGCATTTGTAGATGCGTCATCGATGAGTGATGCATCAAGATGAAACCAAACTATTAAAAAAGAATGATTTGACCTTTGTAGTGTGACATTGAAGGATATACTGAAAGAGAACGAGAAAATTTTAAATTTTTGTGATTTATTTAAATGTAGTTGGAAAGAAGGTTTTAAATTTTTCTTTCGTTTAGTAGTCAGAAAAAAGTCGACAATTCAAAGATGGGACATTTTTTTGGTTTAATTGCACTGTGTTTTTTCCCGTAGATATGATTTATACATATTCAAAGTGCCAATGGATTGGAAATTATTGAAATAAAAGTTACCTAAAGAGTGTGAAAATAAATGGAATGTTATGAACAGAATTAAAGGTGGTAAAAAAGGGAAAATAGAGAAAAAAAATCTTGATGCAAGGTTCAGCCAAATAATTTTTAGTGTGCTACAATGAAAAATGGATGAGGCAAAGCCATCGAGAATATAAATGAAAAATGGCAAAGATTTAAATCACAACATGAAATAGTATAAAAATTCGATTCAAGCATTTGTTTTGTGAACCATGGAAAACTCTCCGCATTGGCTGTATTTTTTTTTTTGTTTTTGAATTAACTAGTAAAGGTTTTTTTCATTTAATTTAAAAAAGAAAAAAGGGAAGAAATGATACAATTTTTGATTTTTTTGAAAAATTAATCACAGACAGGCTGATATGCAAGGACTTAAAGTACTTATAAAAACAAAATTCGATAATGAAAATTCATAAATATTTTTGAGTGATCATTTAAAAAACAAAAACAAAAAAATCGAGTCTGGATAATATTTTTTTTAAAATATTGTCCATTTTAGTATGTGTGAATAGAGAGACGAAAGAAAATGATAAGAATGATAAAATTTGATTGACATAGTGTAAAACTTAAAGAGTTTGAATGATTCGCATTGCAAAATTTTGATGTCTCTTTCCGAAGTTTTGCTAAGAGAATTTTATTTTCATTAAAAAAACAACAACTACAAAATAATACACGATAAGAAAGTAAATCTTTAAGTAAATAAGTGAATCCAATTACACGTATGATTTTGGAAAAGCGCAAATTAATCTCAGGTTTTGTTTTGTTAATGCATCATTCTCATTGCCAAAATCATATGTGAGCTGGTGTATTGAAAAGAAATCTCAAAGCTATAGGATATAAGTTGTACAATTTGATCGATTTAAAAAGGTTATGGGTGGCCCGGTCTAAACAAAATATACATATACATTACAAAAATTTAATCAAAATTTATTTGCATTAGAGATACTTAAACATATTTTTCCAAGCCAAGAAAGCAAAAAAAAAAAAAAAAACAAAAAAAATATTTAAGCTTATCTATATATCGGACAATTCGGCTACACATTCTATGATCTCGAGTGAAAGAATTTTTAGATATTTTTTATCTTTTGATAAGAAAACACCTCGAATTCGTGTTGCCATATTACAATTTAGCATTATTTCCATACAAAAAAAACATTGGCGTTCAAATTCAAAGTTCGTCGAAAAAATGAACAAAAAAATTCCTATTTTAGTCAGATTTCAAAATTATTTACTCTTTTTTCGGAAGTGATGAGATGTATTGTGTTTGCATTTTTTTTTTTTTTTGAAAAAGAACAATTTACAAAAATCGTATAGATAAATCAACCGACATGGCAATTATGAGAAAGATTTTGAATTGCACAATTATGCGTATTGTTTATGTGTTCAACGAAAACAAAAACACGCAAAAATAGAAATAATAATTAACGAAATGATATTAATTATATTCTACCTCATTTGATACCACTCACAACCATCACACATTTAATATATATATATATATTTTCTTCATATTCCTTAGTACAAATTTAAAAACAACAAAAATTCAATAGAAAAAATCTCTTTATATTTAAAATAATCGTCATATTTTGTAATGTGAACAAATTTTTTACAAATAAATATAAAGAGAAACAAAACATGGTGTTTTATTTTATGTGAGTTTTTTTCTGCAGGCGATTAAAAATGCACGTTTCCAACCAAAATACATTGTGTAAGGTAATTTTGAGAGATCAGTAAGGTAATTTTTGCATATAATTTACACCGATAAACGAATATCAAGTCAATATATAGTAAGTCAGATTTTCAATAACTTTTCTGTGTACCGCCTTGACATTGCGAAAATACTGTTGCTCTGTGATTCTCTCGATGCAATACACGTCGAAAAACAATTTGGCCATTTCAAAATTTTGGGGTGATTATAATATTTAACTCTATACAGTGGTGTGTGCGGGAAAGTAAAAAACACAACGACACATTAAAATCGATTCGATGTCATAAAAGACAATGTGAGCTGCATTTTACTTGTATTGCTTTATCGAGGTACGTATCCATGTACATATAAATCCATGCGACAAACGAAATATTCGATATACGACGACACGACACATGAAAAAAAAACCACAATACTGAACAAACATTCTCGTAGTAAATTCATTCCACACTTGTCTCTGGCACAACCGTGATTTGAGTGTATATTGTGTAGATACATTCAAAGCGATTCAAACATTGTTTAGCCGTTAATACGATCAGACGATACTCTGATAGCGGTCAATTTTATTTTATTTTTCTGTTATCCACATAGCTGATTAAAATAATTTGTTGATGGTTTTTTTTGTTGTTGTTGTGTTTGAATTTCCATTCAATTGCTATTAAGGCTTTTATTGCCGACGCGTGCGTGAAATGCAATTAATTGCATAAAATTGACTGTTAATGAATGAATTTCAAAGTTTTTGTGTGAACAAAAGTTTTGGTGAAGTGTTTTTGTGTAAAATTTAATTGAATTTTATCGATATTTTTACAAGCTAAGAATAAAAATTGTGATAAGTTGAGTGAAAAATTTGTTAGGACTTTGAACATTGTGATTTGGTTGAGATCTGTAGTGTTTCCTGAGAAAAACAAATTTTCAAAAAAGGTGGGTAAAGTTAGAATAGATGGTTTAGTTTTAAAACAAATCAAAACCTCAATTTGGAATTATATATTGTTTTTGCCATGTAATTATTATTATTTCAGAATTTGTTGTATCACAGACTCGCTATTAGTTACGGCAGTTTAAAATAAATGCCACTTATTCCATTGAACTTTGTCTTCCGTGATGCGCGTATGTGTATGTTCAACAAGAAATGCTTTCTGAATGAGACGCGAAATAACGAGAGAAAAAACGCATCCATATTCCCATTTACTTGTTGCTAATTATTATTTGCTCAGAACAAATCCTTTGTTCTATCCTATGTTCATAGTGTTTGGCATACAAAATGTACATATATTGCCGAATGCTACCCAAATTAATGTTAACCGCTGCTGTTGTTGTTTTATGCCGTTTTTTTTAAATTCATTCTCAGTTCGGTTCTCTCAATTGGCTGTATAAATTCGGCGCACAAATGAACATTCGTCGAAAGTTGCTTGAATATAATTGCGATTACAACGATTATTGTTTTATCGTTATTGACTTGATTATATATGCTAATTAAATATCATCCTCTCTCTCTCAATTGTTGATTTTGCAAAAATCTTTAGAAACTTGTTTTTTTTTCCTCAATTTTATCATCAATTTTGTGTATTGGTTCGAGTGTTGAATCATTTGTTGCGAGACAACACACCGACACTATGGTTAATCGTGCAATCAAAATTAAACTAGGCGCATCAGCAAATTGCTCGTTTAGAACTTGTTGCAGAATCTCAACAAGAGTAAAAACTCTATAAACAAATAATGTACACAAATAAAATGGTTACAAAGTTTTGTAAAAAAATTGACTGGCTTTAAGCGAAAACGTAGTGTACACACAACGTAATGTACACATTGTTTTTGTTGAATGACGGCAAAGCAAAAAAAAAGTGACAAAGATTTTCGGTTGAATTTGTGAATTCTATGCAGTCGTTTTTTTGCAACCATTTTTTGCAAATATTTCGAGCGTTTATTTAGCGTTTAGCATGTTTGTGTCATTTTATCAATGGGATCAGTACGAAAGAATCATCACAGAATCACCACACGTTTTCGACCTTTCTGTAAAATCAATCATTCTTCGTATTGCCCTTCAAACTCTCTTTGGTGTCTTCGCACATGCACACATGATTTCAATGAGATTCACAGATGGTCTCGCATTTTTGAATGCTTTTCACATTCCAGCACAATTGTACGTACATTGTTTTATGGATAATACAAGACACAAACGAAGACAAATAAAACAACGTAAAATCATGCAAATCATTCCGACTTTGTGGTTATTCAAGCAACGATTTGAATGTCAGAGATGAAATGCGATCACATTGGTGTGGTTCTGATTCCAATTGAAGTGTAATGATTTTGTGTACATTTTGTATTTCATGCAAATCATTACTTCAGTCAAAAACACCATTTAGCCATAAATAATGCGTTTTATTCAATACCGCAATTCAATTGAAATATCAACATAGACACAACACACATATAAACTGCATATACGAAACAAAATACACTCTTTAGTCAATCTAAGGTTGATGTCAAGGTCTAGTCTCGTTGCTGTTCCATTAATAATTGCACTCACTATGCGCCGTCGTTTCAACTTATTTACAATCATCGTTACGTTACAACGACCATAGGTTACAGAGAGATGTTTCGCATTCATTGCATTTATTTTCTGTGCATATAACACCTTCGGTGCTGCATTGCATCGTCAAGTAGCAAAAAAAAACTTTTGCGATGACGGTGTCGAGGAAAACGTGAAACTTGTTTCTTTTCTGTCGAAGGTGTACGCGGCCAGTTTTATATGCACTTTTAAACTTTTCGTCGGTAAACATTTGAAAGTTGAATAAAGAAGAATTGGTAGATTTTTTTTGTTGTATTTATTTTTCTCTGCATTTGGAAGCCGTATTTGTTTTTTTTCGGCAAAATTTTCCAGAAAGACGTTTTTGAGTTATTTAATGCTTTTATCCTCGAAAATACCAAATTTATAAAATTGGATAAAATTCTCTTTTGTTGTTGAAATACAGAGAGACTGGTTTTATGGAGTAGTTCGCCGTCTATCTGTAAGCATTTAACGTGAATTCAGAAGTTCGAGCATTGATTTTGATCCACGAATGCAAACTAAGTTAATAAATTGCAGTCAACGATTCTGTCTTATCATGCACATACTTCAACATGCACACCAACCTCAGCCACTGTAAACAATCATTCAATCATTTCGATCGTTGGCAAATTGTCGATTTTTATCAAACAAAATTATCAGCAGTTGACAATATTCAAATGTGTCCAGCCCGATGAATGCAAGCATAGCAATAATTGAAGTAAATCAAATCAAGTTATAGTTCGATGTGAGGTTAATCATGTATCAGAAAAATTGAAGGTCTTCCCATATAACATTTTACTTGGCAATATTATGACACATATTCATTTAGACGCTTTATACTCACTCACTCTGACGTTGAGTTCAACTGCTTGAAATTCAATGTACTAATTGATTTGGTATGCACATCACCGATGTTTCGAAATGGTTTCACTTTTTAACACAAAACGCATCATTTTACTTCTAAATAATATAATTAAAATTCAAGCTGGGCAAATAAACGATTGCAATGTAAGTGGATTGAGTGGTGGTCATTGTTTTTGCTATCGCTGTTGATTTTGTCCCATAATAGTAGATAAATCAATAAACAAAAGAAAACACATAGATAAATATTAAGACCGTATGCGTATGTACTAGCGTATGCATGTTTATAAGTTGGCTTGGCGTTCACTACAATCTAAATGAAATGACATAATAAATATGTAAACATTTTTTGTTGTCGCGTTTTTTTTTTGTTTACAAGCTTTAAATTTTTTATTTGTAATGATCAGCTCAAGATTTGGTGCTTTTCTCAGATCATATAATTATGTAATTTCAAGACCTGCTTCAAAATGATATGCTTAAAAGTTATTTTTAAATCAATAAAAATGGCACCGATTTCTTTCGGTTCGGTTTCATTTCATTGATCAAGATTTTGCGTAATGTTTTCATTCCACATTATCAATTCAAGGTTTTCTCAACTTCTTCCTCACACAAACTGGTTATTATTTTGTTTTATATTGGACAAATTAACCGTAAAATATATGATATATCAAATAAAAAATTAAAATGCATATGTCAAACTGGAATGAATATGCTACTATTCCACCACAATGCAATTGTGTATGGTAAGCGTATGATAAATAAATAAGGGAATTCAAAAACTGTGAATATTTCCAGATGGACGTATCACCCGGGATAAATCCTTGTGATCAATTCATCAAATAAATTTTGGATTTTGTTCAAATGAAACAATCAAGCATGTGTCAATATTTTCTTCTTTTCGGTGGCCAACTATTGTTCCGTGAATTATGCGATGACGATTATCAGATACATTGTTTGCGTGTTAATAATTTCCATGAAGTGCTTTAAAATGAAGGCAATTTAGCCAAATAGTCCACAACAATGGACTTAACTTAACTGGGTGTTGTTCGAGATTTTTTATTCTTCGTGAAATACCATCCGACATAATAAACATGTAAAATCATTTATGACACATAGCACATATGTATTATCATAGAATTATATATGGCATTTTTATCGTTGTTAATGATACGTTACATTTTTTGTACGTCCATTTATTTTGTGCGTATTTTCATTTTAAGTGATAGTTCCAATATATATGGTTATTGTACTAAATACACGCACAAACGAACAAAGATTCTTTTTTTTAAAAATCAAATAAATAATGAAAAAATGTCCTGGTATTATCGAATTTTATCGATTTTCTCGGAGTGGAAACTTTTCATTTAATTTTAATTTTAGAACAATTTTCTCTAGATTTCAAAAGCAATTATTTCATTTCCGATATATTTTTTTCCATTCGTATTTCCAATACCGTTTTTTTTCTTGTTTGTTTTTTTAGGTCACACGCGTGCACTATAAGTCGATTGAAAAAAAAGGAAATAAAAGGAGGATGAGTGCCCGTATTGACACGCAATTGACATCGGAAAATGGTCGCAAGGAAAGTTCAGTCGGACAGCCCACATTGTTTGGTGAAGTTCCGGAAAATGAGAGTGACACAGTATCCCAAAGCAATAATTCCTCTATCGTTGAGACGAAAAATAGAATTAATTCGACCAAGCAAAATGGCATCACTGATACATCAGTTGCGGTCATCAACATCGATGAAGACGGTAAGTAAAATAGAACGAATCCAAATCATGCATGTAATTAGATTCTGTAATAGATTGATTCAACTTTGGTTTGTACTGTTTAATGTCAAACGTATTTGAAGTCATTAAGTCATTCCCGATCAAATCGTCAATTATAATCGAAAATTGATTTCGTCATTGGTCTTTTTCGTTTCACGATTATCAGGTGAATTGCAATGAACTGAAACAACTGTTTGAACATTGTTCAAGCAACAACTGTCAATTTTTTTGAGCAACTTGTTGAAAGTGTTTGGAGAATCGCAATAATGGATCCATTAACACGCAAAACGTAATGCATTTATTTGTTGCCGGCTATGTTCAAATCAATAGACGTTCTTTTTCTCTCGTATAACTTTCACTGATCCTTTTTTTATCTTTTGAATGGAGCAAAGAACATGAATGAGAATTAAGAATATTCAATATTGAAATGGCTCAAAGCCTGCACAATTTTATTGAATATGCTTCAAGACTTTTCACATCAAAAATTGAATTAAATACCAAACTTGTTTAACTTTAACAATAGCAAGCAAAAGTTTGGCTCATTAATTTAACACTAGAACCAAAACCATCCAATCAAAGGTCAATACTTTTTTTCCCGTAAGTTACATGAGAAGAAACAAAAAACTACACAAAACGAACGTGGATATCAAGTGAACTTTTTGTAAAGCCCAACTATCGACTTTTCTATAACTTTAAAAACGACGAAAGAAACTCAATTTTTTGTAAGCGAAAACTCATTCTTTACCCAGTACAGGCTGGTTTAGTGGTATATTTGGTTTTTGGCGCACACATTTTTTTTGCACATCACATCGATTAACGCACCTCAATTGCATAGGTAGATATCAAATGTGCCTAGCGGTTGTGAGTTTTCTATTGATTTCTTTGATATTCTAACAAAGTACACAGTAGACACGGAGATGATGAAAGATTGAAAAAGCGCTTGACGAAAAAAAATCATGTTTTGGTAGTATTATAATTGCACTCGAAAACCCAAAGGAAATAAAAACTGAAAAATATGTATAAAAAAAGTCAACATTCTGGTCAAACATCAAAATTATCCGGTTTTTTCGCTGCCATTCGATACGGGAACGCTTCTGTCTAGTTGCTATAAATCACGAAACATTCTTGTCAAGGTCATCATTTTCTACATTAGGGTGTTTCCCATATCTGTAAATAGAAAAATGGTATTTTTTAATTGAAAGTAGACAAAATTCTATGCTGGTTAGTAGCATCGATACAACAAAGCGATTTATATCAACACTTCCCGAAGCGAAAAACGATTGTTGCCTCTGAATATGGATATCAATCACTCCATTATATGAATAAAATCTCATAGTGAAGAATACTTACAGAAAAAAACACCTAGAAATGCACTTCCTCGAAATGCTGAGACACAACAGTCAGTCTCAGTTAATGTAACAAATTACAATATTAATTTTTGATTAATTTTCGAGTACGAATGGTGATTGGTGATGCTTAAGGCTGCTGATTCGGTTGAACTGCTGGCTGTCGCGGTGATCGTCTGTCTAATCCTGCCGGAATATCCCATCCAAACAGCTCACAATGTCCTATTCAAAAGTAAACACACACACGGAAATAATGTATAGATTATTGGCAGAAATGATTTTTTTTCTTAAATCTATACAAATGTCATTAAATATTGCATACATATTTATCATCGAGCGCTAAAATAGATCATTCAAATAGTGTGCATTTCATTTAATATGTAGAATATATGCAAATGCAAATTTCTAATACACATACCTTTGATGAGAATGCATTTGGCGGCGACGATATCACGATCCCAAGATGTCTTGTGTACAGCCATTAGTAGTTGCTCGTCTTCGATTTCCAATTCATTTTCATCATCGACTGCATATGGCTGTTGAACAGTTGCATACGGTGCATCAGCATTGACTTGAGCATATTCCAATTTACCACTCACTGTGTTTACTTGCCAATTTTTTGGATACACGGCCACCTTAGACAGTAAACGTTCAGCAGCAATATCGAATTCTTGCTCAGTCATGAGTCCTTCTGCCCAAAATCGCATCAAATAAAGTTCAACCTCATCTTTGTTGTACCTCAATTGCCGTTTGCTGCGCTGTGCTACGATTTTTGATGGTAAATATTCGGCGAAAATTGAATCGGGCTCCGCTCCACAATTTTCACACACTTTGAATCGATGGCTCCTTGTGGCTGGATTAAATCGTCGCCCACACTTTGCACAATGCTGCGATGTACCCCACTCATCTGTTTTGCGCACACGACAATTGCGACGTTTTCGAAAGCCTTTGAGTAGTTTGCGCGTACCTGGAGCTCTCACATGCTTTTTGATTCGAATGCACGAGTTTGGTGATATTTCTGCATTTCCCATGTGAATAATTGCGGCTTTATGATTGACCAAATTCCCAGTGAGTTTATCAACGGTTCGATTCGATTCGACGTACTTGTCAAACTGCAACAGCGTGTATTTCGGTGTTGTATACACGGCCATTCCTTTCTTGAGCATTTTGATACGATGATGAACGTAATCAATCCAGAGTATGCCCAGTGGTGATGGCATTCGCTGATACAATTGTCGATTATTTCGATCGTCCTGCTCCTCTTGGGTGAACTGCTTCGTCCATCGTTTTGCCTTTACATCGCGCGTCTTCTGCTTTGCCAGCCAATGGTACTTCTTACTGGACGTTTTCAAGTTGACCTGAAATGGAAAAGTGAAGAAAAAAATTATTCACGTAACTGTATCACTTTCTATTTCTCAATAATGCCAAAAATTTAAACACTTACTTCTTTCTTTGTTTCGATATTTCGACGAACTGTGGCATTCCATGTTTTCATGCCTGGATCGATTCCCAGTTCGTAAGCAAATTTTCCGCCGATGAATTGCTTTCGAAGAATATCATCATTCTGCATCTGTTGCTCGTATTGCTTTGACATGCGATACATAATCGACACAGATTCACCGTTGCTGACGATGGTATAATGGAATTCTTTGTTTTTCTTCAGTTTTCGATTGATGGTCGTAAAATCGAATACTTGATTCCAATAGAATTCTTTGTTCTGGCGAAGGTAACTTTCGGTTGCTTGTCTACCATCAACTTGTGGAAGTAGTTTCGATTCGGCCAGCATTCGATAGAAGACATCATTGCACATGAACACTGCCTTTCGTTGATAATCAGGCAATGGAACAACCGAGAGATTTTTGATATTTGGTATCTTCACATTGTTATCTTGCGCCCAATTGTGCCACTCATCGATTTCTGTCTGCATAACGAGCCACATTGCAGTTGCTTTGAACCAATAATCGCCTTTTGAAAAATCCTTGATGTTGTGATCATTGGTTGGGCCACCAACTTCTCGAACAATTGCAGTAACCATGCCAGTAAGTAATGTTCGCTTGTGTCGTTTGAAATCTGCATTTTGATGAGTGTCACGGATCGCATTGTAGCCTCGAATCATCAAATCGACTGCATTGTCAATGTCCTTCTTGTCGAATTTCCAACCGGTAGACACTGCGTTGAATTGCCACGCTCGCATTCGCAGATAGTTTTTCAATTTCTTCTTGCAGTGTGTCTTTTGACCGGTTTTCAAGCATCGCGTGTGATTTTGGCACAGCGTTTTAAAATGATTACCAAAATAATCGTTCTTGGGCCAGGCGAAATTATTTTCTGGACTGAGCTCTTCGACAAACTGACGGAAATGTGGCTCCATATTCTCACCTTCTTTGTTTTTTTGCAAGACGGCATAGAAACATTGCTCAATCACTTCTTCGCCACGATTCTTTTCAACGAGCTGTCCTTTCTTCTTTCCTTTTTTGGCCAGATACGTTCGGTTTTTAAAAAACTCCCACTGTCGATTCATTTGTGCCGATTTCACTTTATCCAAGAAAAGTAATGATGCCAAAACGGTGATTTTCGTTGACATTATGCTTTTCTGTTCGATCCACGGTTTGACAATGTGATTGAACTCTGGTCGCAAAATTGTGTTGAGGCGCATTTTAATCGCGAACAATCCATTATCGTTTACATCATCATCAGCATCCTTTTCTTTTTGCGCATTCGTTTGAAATTTGTATCGCTTTTTTCTTGGCGCTGTAGCAGCCGTAGTTTCACCAGTCGTTGACATGTTGAACTAAAACGAAATAAAAAAAAAACACACGCGCAACTTAGAACACAAATAAAATGACAAATATATTTTCTGCACTGTGTAATTTTTGTAAATGAATTGAATCAATAGGAAGCACTGAATATATGGGGACAAAACTGACACTTGATGTTACCTGATTGAATGTTAAGCGTGAAGTGATTCAAAATCGACAAATTGAGTGATATTAACTCTTTTGAATGCAACATATAAATGCAAACCACACCAACACGGTCCCAAGTTGAATCGAAATATTTGCAGTTTCAGCTTGTGAATGTTTTGTTATTATCAAAACTAAACAAAATCAAACACAAAATTCACCGCAAATATCTCGTTTGAAAACAATCGGTTGACAATGATTCCAATAGAAAACCGCCAACAGCGAAAAATAAACTTCTTTGAAAGCAAGAAACAAATATAACATACACTGACACAATCCAAAAATATGTTTTAGCACTTTTATCAATCGAATCCAATGAAATTATGACGATGCAAATTCAAATAAAAAAAAACATTGATTCTGACAAGTTTCAACACGATCGTTTCATTTGAACCAACACACTTCTCTACATTCCGATGGTTATGTGTCGAAAGCATTCTTAAACTGCACACATTTTTTGTTTATAAAGCGTTTGAATAAGAATGTATGGTACGGAACCAATAAACGGAATCACAGTTTGTATGTAAACACTTAAGAGCAAAAGAAACGGAATGATTATTATTATTAGCCTATCGCGATGGATATAAATGTGTATGTGTTGTATGGACTGCTTGGTTCAAATCATAAAATGATTTTACAGGCCAAAAAAACAGCTGACACAGCGAACAACACGATTCTGAAAATGCGTTGAATATAAATACTTTCTTTTGTTTATTTATCGAATTCTAAAGAATCGCAACAATATTCTATCAAAGCGAACAGTGTCGATATACGTGCAAACAGCAAAGAGAATTGTACTTCAAATTCTAATCAACTATATTTTCAGATATGTTTTCGTTTCGGGAAGTGCTAAAATCAATCGCTTCGTTATATGAATGCCATTTACTAACATAGAATTTCGCCTTCTTTGAATTAAGAAATACCATTTTTTTATTTGCTGATACGGGAAACACTCTATTCTACATACTCATATGATAGCATATGATAGGCCTTTCTTCAAATGATTCAACGCCCCTACGTATACGAATGATGCACAAAAGAACAAGCAAAATAGTTTACTGTATTTGCTTTCATTGTGTGAAGTTTTATCAATTAAAAGTCATGCTCGCAAAGATAATAACCAAATGTGATATGTCTGAGTTATTTGAATATTTATGTGGTTTTTTGTACGCAGTTAAAAGATGGCTTTGCATACGTATCATCAAGTTTAAATTCCCTGTCTCCGGTTGGCCAATATCCTAATTTATCTGTTAGCAAGGAAGTTTGTGATCAATTCAAAGATTCACAATAAGAGTATGCGTGTGCGTATATTGTTTGTTCTTGTGTTAATAAGAAAAGTGGGATAATTTGTTGTGCAGTTGTGATATTTTCCATGTTCTGTATATGTATCAAAAGAGATAAAACTAGAGCACAAACATATTATTGCTGGTTATGGAATCAATCGTTATCTTTTATGAATTCTATACTTTCGATTTGAAATATATACTTTTCAAAGAATCGTTTGTTCTGTATATATACAAAAGAAAGCAAAAGCCTTTGGTTAAATAAAAATAAATTTTGATAATTGAAAGATATAAACATTTCAATGTTAAATTCTAATTAATTAATGGACTTCTGAGCTCATCATTTTTTATTATTGCAAGTGGCATTAAAAAAAATAAAATTCGTTTTTTTTTCTTCATAAAATCTCATTATCTTTGTACGTATGTATTGAATACATTTAAGAAAAACGCGAATAGGAAACCAATATTTCAATGACATTCGGTCATATACAGAATGAAGATAAAAAAAAAATCACAATGAAAATGCTACTTAATGTGAACCAAATACATTTGTTTCGCTAACTGCCAACCAAATTGATATTTTAATGTCGTCCTCCCTCTCAATTTCGAATTAAGAAACGGATAAAGAAAAATATTCAAAAGTTTAAATTGATTTAGGAATGTTACGAACACCGGCAAAATCCAATCAAACTAATGGTAGATTCAATCGATTTTCATTGAAGTTTGAAGTTATAAGCCCCTGACTGTAGCATATACAACATTGATTACGTCAGACGACAATCAAATTGTACACATTAGAAGGCATGAGCTCACTTTTCAAATATGCCCGAAACCGTTGTACAACGATTAACCAAACACTAGACACCAGTCACAATGTTCACAGTATCTGGCGTTTATGTGTGTTAGTTGCAGTTGTGTTGGATACATAGTTCGATTGAGACAGAAGCCGCCTGTCATATGTTTTCGTCAAATTTAAATGTGTGTTGGTGTGCGCTCGAGAGATTAATGCGTACACGACATCATGGCCGTCCATGTATGTATAAGTCTATGTTTGTGTTTGTATTTCATTTTTTTTTGGAAATGTAGGAGAACTGTCGCCGCTTAACGAGACGAGAAGAAAGATTGCACACACCAGATGATATTGTGTAGTAATTGTGACCTACAGTCACTGTAGTACAGTGTCCATCGCTCTGCAAATATATGCTGAATGTATCGCATTTTAAATTAGTGTGTGACCCGTGAAATTATTATCAAGAATAAAAACTGAGAAAATAATAAATTTCTTTGTTCCAGTAAAGATAATTCACTGAGTGAATTTTGACGTGTCAATTCATTTCATTTGATCAATTCGGAAAAAAAATTCACCGAATTTTTTTTCAATCACACTTCAAAGTAAATAATTGTTTGTAAATCTCGACAAAATCACAATGGATTGTTTGCTGACCATTATCGTTGGTCTGTTTATCGCAATAAATTTAAATGTGACCACTGCGTATCAAGATTGTAGGTAGAAATTTAAAATAAAAATTGCATTAGAATTGTAAACGATTATTTTCTTCTATTTGTTTTTTCTTCTTCTCTCTTTTCATGCGTGTATTGAATATTTGTTGGTGACAATGTCCATTTGTTTGTGTGCTCGTTTCTATTTTTGGAAAAAATGGACTCGCACAATTCTTCCGTGCTATGTGCATAAACCACAATTCAATAAAATTTCAATGTCATCATGATTTAATGGGTGGTTTGCAACGATTTTTTGTGCGTTTCAAATACTTAATTCAGATTCGTTACGAAAATTATGTTCAGGATCTGAGTTTCATCGGTCGTTTAATAAACTTTACCACAATGAACCGGGCCTTGCATTATTTAATCAAAGCGACTCAGCTACATATGTTCATGACACTTTGATTAAGGATAATATCGATGAATTTCAAAATTGTGAATTTACAGTCGATGGTAATTTATATACACCGAATGGACAATATCGTCGCGGTATATTTGCATCGGTCAATCGATTAAATTTTCGTCTATATTCGAATGGGACATGTATTGATTATGTTCGTTTTCGATTTGTGAATGACTCAACCGACAAGATTTGCGGCCGCTTCAATGCCGAAGATGAAATTGGACAAAGATCATTCTTCACTGAACCATCTGGCGTTATAAAAGTTCATATTTTTGTCGACAAGTCCATTCCATTTACCCCACAACAAGATTCTGTTCAAGTGAACCTTTTATTTACAGCTTATGAACGTAGGTTTTTTAATGAAATCTTCACTTTTTCTTACTAACCACATTTTTCAAAATATATATATATTCCAACACAGCATGTATGGCGAATCGCAATTTGATAAAATGCATTCCAAATAACGACGAATATTGTATTTCATCCGTATTCAAAAATGATGATGTTCAAAATTGTCCACCACCTGCCGGCGATGAGAGGAATAAACAGCAGAAATCGAATCAAATTCAATATCACGATGGAAACGGTAGATCCACCAAAAGTGGTGTGACCAAAAATAGCATCACATTTGGTCTTTTGTTTATTTCTGCATACATGGCCCTTTCACTGTCATACATTTTGTGAATAAGAATTGTTTTTTACCTTTGAACAAAATCTTCAGAATTTTTTCTGTGATTCCACACAAATACTTAGCGTTTTTGAGCAACGTGCACACTTTTTCAATCTTATATTACGGGTAAATAATTGAATAATTATAGCCAATAATAGAATTATATACAAATAGATTTCTATTGGATATATTTATAAAGTTTGCATTACATCTATACAATTGAAAATACACTGTTGATGCTTATGAAGCATCAAAAAAGGCATTTTTTCGAATGTTTAGAGAAAACTATATTTAAATGGCTTTTGTTGAATGAAATCTCTTTAAGAAGTAGTCTTTGAGTTGATAATCTTGAATATTAAACTCATACGATTCGTATTGGATGCCTTCGGTATGCCTTAATGAAAATTATTTTTATCTAGTCGCTTGCTCTGTACTATTGAGTGAAATAAATACAATTACAGTTTTAAAAAATGCATTTCATTTCATGTAATTTATGGTTGTTTCATATAAAACAAAAACAAATTGTAACCAAACAAAAAAAAAAATCGTGCCGGTGATCTATGAATAAATAACAAAAATCACAAGCTAATTATCAACATACTTGTTTTTTTGTGTATAATTTCACATAAAATTATGGTTGATCATGTCAATTATTTCATTAGCAATCACATTAATAATTTCGCACCTTTTGCGTTTATTTGTTATTTATTTGTCTTTTTATATTTTTTCAAGTTTAAATTCATCTCAAAAAGTTATATGTTCTAAATCCAAATGGAAAAGCTTTCCATCGAATCGATTGGTGCGTAGTTCATTCAAAAATATTCAGATGGAGTCACGAATACATGACCTATGGACATTGCATAAAAACAATATTATTCCACGATTTCTTTCACATATAACGCAATAAATTCCAACACACAAACATCAAATTTTAAATCGAATTGTTTTCTTTCAAAATTTCAAATCAATTGCATTAGAATTATTGATTTCATTTTATTTCGACCGGAACGGCTCAAAAATGTGTACAAACCTAAATCCAAAACAAAGCTGAAAACCAAAAAAAAAACAAGTCTTTAATTTGCAATGCCGACGTTTATATGTTTGTCTCATTTGACACATCATGTGATCTCTTGTGCTCTACAAGTGTTGAATGTGGTCGCCACTGATTTTGTATTCAGACTGTCAAATTTCCATAATATTTATACAGTCATTTGAGAGTTGATATTTGCTGTTTTATTAGTTAGCGAACTAAGGTGAACCATCCGCTATTGCCGTTCATTTGGTTCGAAAAGAAATCAAAATAGATTGTGTGCGTGTGTATATTATACATTTTATATACATTTTATTCATACTCATACTTATTTCTTAGCCGAATCATTTTATCACTGTGTATTTGTTTCAATTTTTTTTTTAAATGAATATATACTATAGTCGTGCCCTGTAGTTCAATTAAAAGTTAATTTTTGTGTCTGACTTGTAAACAGTCGGAAAAGGGTTCGAATTACGGATAGCATTGTTAATTTTTTGTTTACCGTGCCGTGCTAAAAATTATAATTTACTGATATTATTTAAAGTGAGTTGGATACAGAACACAATAATTAATTAATTGTTCCTTTAAAAGTATGGGCGGATCATGACATATTTAGATTAAACGAATTATTCTGTCTTATCATTTAAGAAAGCTATGTATTTTGGGTGATTCTTTGTTATTATTGCACGCAAATAGAGAACAAAATTCAAGTGTTTCAATAATTCTATGTAATCTTGTTAAAAACAACTGTTCCATCCATTGTGTGTTGAAAGTGTTCCATTTTTTATTTTGTTCTTTACACTGGCGGGTCAACGAAAAAGTATATATAAAAATATTTCAACACCGAATTTTAAATTATACGATTGATTTAATGTGCGATTCCAATCGGATTTTTCGGCTATCTTTTTTTTCATTCTTTAACTTTATATAGCTTTATTTCGTCAGTAAAAAACACGTTTTGATAATTTTCGGTATAAATTTTGTGTATGTTAAAACACAGTACAACAAAAAATTTACGGCGCAAAGTTCGGAAGAGTAGACACATTTCAGATTGTATTTTTATGTATCATGATTTTGTTTTTTTTTTTTTTGAAACGCAACTCGTTTTTGTTAATTCGGAATCAAATTACGTACGATTTTGACTTTCTCTGAATCTCTATTTCAATTATATGATTTTTTTTTACAGATCGTCAATTTTCCGCCGGAAAGAAAATGAGCAACATTGAAGCTGTAAGTATAAAATGATCACGAGGAAATGATATGTGTAAAATTGGCGTTAAGATTTTCGAAAGATGCATGTTCCAAAGTCCAATTTAGTCGATTAAAAGATTGTCTCAGCTATAAGCTTGAAACAAGATTGGCGTTCCGATTGGCCCAAGTTCCGAGCGTCTGTTCCATCTAGTGTAAATGTTTTGGTGCTTTTCGAATGTGGTAATTTGTGGATGGCAATAGCTTTGTGTTGCAGAAAGAGATTGTTAGAGACATAGTCTACGAACAAAATTTTTACATATTTATCACAATAATATGGTTTTATAAAAGGCAATATCGGTCGCTATGACACTCGAGCACTTTTACTTTTTAAGCGATATACATGATTCCACCACATACATTAGTTATATATTTCAATTTAAATATTTAGGGTTATATCATCGTCATGTATTCAAGCAGTAGTCAAGTGAATAAATTTTTATTCGAAAAACAGTTTAACATTGTAAATTTCAAATCATCGCCTCAACTCGTTTATTTGCTCAAAATTATTGACACCGTTCGCTTGTAATAGCAATTTTTGCTATTTTGTTCTTCAAATCACTCAAAAGTGATATGCAAATGATACAAAGCAAATACCAAGCAGTACAGTTTCTCATTCGCCACCAATGCGAATGATTCAACATCGATACAAAGTATTCAAATCGAGACAACTCCGTAGGTGAATTAAAGTAAAACTTGTAGAGCCGGTATTTTTAGTCGTTTTCTTAAAAATGATAATACAAAATACAGCAGCAGCAGCAGCAACAACAACAACAAAATATCTGTTCAATATATCGAATATACTCACGACGACGAGTGGTGACGTCGAAGAACGAGAAAATCCACTGAATAGATATGGTTGTGTATGTGCTGTAGTACATTGATCATACTCTTTTACAACTGTTTTATTTTCACAATTTGCGCATTATTATATTTATATATGTTATTAAAAACAAAAAAATAGTAAGCATATTTTTTACGTCATGAGGTAGACTGATTTTCGGTTAATTCCCAAAAATCGATTCATGAATTTAAAATGGCATTATAAATTTTAGGTATACCCATATCATTTTCAAAAATTATAATTTCGGTTAGAATTGAACAATCAAACCAACGGTTGTTCCAACCGTCAATGTCAATGTTTATGGTTGTAGCTTCTTTCATGTCTATTTTATAAAATGGTATATTGTAATGAAAATGAAGTAGTTTCAAATACGTTGACATTCAAATAATGAAAGTCATTGTGAACACCAAAAGATAAACCAAAAAACATTTTTTTTTTGCAAATATACTTCAAACCATGTTTTATATTTCCATTTTTTTTCATTCAACACACGTTCGAGATGTTTTTTTTCTTTTTTGAACGCACGTTCGGAACACACGATAAAATTGTGTTTAACTTCCTCCAAAATGAATATTTGTTGATAAAATACAGGGAACAGCAAACACGCTGCGAATTCAACAAACACATGCGCCGCAGAATCGTTTCTTTTTGCTTTTTGTTTATGAACAATGAACTCAAAAATAAAGCAAAAGTCAAATGGAATTCTGGTTTACGGTATTTGCATAAGAGCATCGGAGCAATTGCGATAGCTCAGTTTCAGGGCATGAAGTGCATTTTTTGTTGCGTACAATTTCAAAGTAGATATTCGCATGTAACCTTAGGTTTTACATTTAAATTCACTTGAGAATTTTGGTGCTAGGAAACAGAGGAAAAAAAATATTTTCATTTAATGCAAAACCAATTCATCTGGACAAGGGGGAAACCACGGATTCTAATATGTGCTAATTTTTTCTAATATTTCTAGTAAAACGCCATATAACATGCACATTTGACATCTTTCTAATATGTTCTAGTTTTTCTAGTATCGAGTTCGTGGGTAACCCCAAGCATCTGGAACAGCAATAGAAAAAGTGTTCAGCATTTGCTTTACATTACCAGAGTCCGGCATTAGTCAAAAACTTGACTAATTGCCATTGTTTTTTTTTATTATGATGAGTAGTTTTCTTGAATAATTAGTCATAATAATTATCAGTAATGTATTACAGACTTTGAAATATACTTGATCGGCGATTACAGACCCCTCAAAAGAATTTTCAGAAAAGTGAAGACCTTTTTCCTCTTCACTTTTTTTAGTGGAATACCAAACGATTTTTAATTTTTGCCGAAATGGGTTTTACACTATAGATAGAATTAGATTTCTTGGTTACCCCTCTCAATTTTTTTTTTTACATGATTATCAATTTGCCCGACTGTTGGATATATTAACCACTTTTTCCGTGTTATTTTGCGAGAGGATGTACAAAATGCATTTGAAATGGAATTTAATATACAGCCATCTGAATTTAAAACGCGGAATCATTGAAAAACTTTGAAGACTTTTTTCCTGCATTTGACAATTTTAATTTGCTTGCTAATATTTCCGTTATGCATCTGAGAAAATGTTTATTTATTTTTTATTCGCCGTTTAAGATCTGCATCATTTATCATAAATAACAATTTTTCTTCCGGATTCTTTTCCGTTTTTTTTTTGTTTGAAAAACTGTCCCCTCCTATAAGATCGGTCTTATTTTCATTTTCAGATCCATGAACGGGCCACCGTTGCATTCCAAAGTGGCAAAACCATCGATTTAACATTCAGGTGAGTTCCAATTTGCATCCTTTTGTTATATTTTTTGTATTTTTTTATATTGCGCATTTCCGTTGTAAATCATAATCGAACTGAAAACTGCATGATTGAGTATGCATAACGATTAAGTAAATGGACATTTAATTATTTGGCGGTGTTGAGAAAATATATTGTGGACTTTCATTTAGGTTTTTCGATAATTACGTCATAAATAAATGGTATTTATTTATGCAATCAACTATCTACTATATTGACGTCTGAATATTTGTTTCGTTCTTCCTTCAACGTATATATATTGTTTGCGTCATTCAGCATGCAATTTGATACATATAGGAACGTAACCGCTATAAACAACTTGAATTGAAGTAGACAAACCATAAAAAGAGATGTGAGACATCTACGCAATTTCTTGCTTTGGCATTTCGATTGAATTGTACAAAACTGACTTCTTTTCGCTTTTTAGTTGCGTTATTTTTTTTTCTTTCGTTTTGTTGTTTTTCTCTTTTGCTTGAATAGTTCGCATATGTGGTGTTTAGTTTGATGTTCTCGTTGAAAACTGGTCGGTATTGCATCAACAAGTTGGCCTGCAATAAAAATATACACCACATATCGTATGAGCATTGTTTTTTCATGCAACTTGTTTAAATTCAAGAAGGCGCTTAACAATTTAATAAGGTTTTATCAGACACGTTCACCAAGAAAAACAACAACAACAACTCATTTTTCATACAATAAACACACGAAACAAAATCAAATTGAAAACACACAAAAAATGAAAAAGTTTCTTTCCTGTTGAAATCGTTATGGTTTTCATTAAATTCACACACTTCAAATACACAATTCATACAATTTTATATTGCAAAATTAATGCAAAATTATAATTTTAGTTCATGGTAGTTTTTCGAAAATGTAATGATGAAACTTTAATCTTCTTCAACTTGGGCTTGGCTCACATATGTTAAATGATGGAAAAAGCAATGAATAAGGCTTAGGTACAGATTAGAATCAGAGTATTGCTCAGCGCTGCTGCCATCCACAGCATATTAAAATATCTTGCTGAGAATGCGTCGTCCGTCGCATGCGAAGGTACGTGGCAGTTTTTACATCACAGTGAACAAAAATGTATGCATTGTTCTCTTCACGATTATGTGACTCAAAACATTCAAACGATTGATTAGAGAACAATGCATGTATTGTTGTTCGCTGTGACATAAAACTGCTACCTACCTTCGCATGCGACAGACGACGCATTCTCAGCAAGATATTTTAATATGCTGTGGATGGCAGCAGCGCTGAGCAAAACTCTGATTAGAATTTTATATACAAAAGTAAAAAGTTGTGAATTTTATAATTGTCATTCAATTTTGAATCGTAACATTGTTTTACGATTTCAATGGATCTTAAGACGGTAAATCAGAAACATCGTCTGAAATTTTATGATAGAACATCTGTAATCTGATTTGGAAACTTGTTCCACAAATTTTGTCTGATTAAAATCTCAACCATTCGTTTTCAAATTCACAAAAAAGTGAGAAGGTAATTAACAATATTGGCGAAAATACATAGAAATTCATAATATGGAATGTTAACAAATTATTCAAATAGCATATCTACTAATATTATTCCATATTTACGTTCACTTATGTAAATTAATCGTATTGTTTTTTCTCAAAAAAAAAAAAAAAAAAAAAAAATTCTTTATATACAGGGAACAGCAATTGAATGCATTATTGCGTATGTATGAGGAAAATGAAGATGCGATGTGTGAAGCACTCTTGAAAGATTTGCATAAATGCCGTCAAGAATCAATTATCAACGAAGTTGAATTGCTGCGAAATGATGTGAGAAATTTGATTATGAACCTTCGTTCATATTCCAGCATTGACTATGTAAGTAGAAAATAAAATGTTTGAAATGAATTAAAAATACTAATTGTATAATTTTGGTGTGCATTTACCATCCATAGCCGGAGAAGCCGTTCGTTAATATGTTGGATTCGGTGGAAATTCACAAAGATCCATATGGTGTTGTATTGATAATGGGTGCATGGAATTATCCTCTTCAGTTGACATTATTGCCAGTGGCTGGCGCCATTGCGGCTGGTAATTGTGTAGTCATTAAACCGAGTGAAATAGCGCCGGCAAGTGCAAAATTTATTGCCGAAACAATTCCAAAATATTTGAATGAGGTAAGCACACTGTCACCAAATGCCACCACTGTGATTTAACTGAAACATTTTTTTTTTAACCAAATTTGTTGTTTAGGAATGTTATCATGTGATTTGTGGTGGCGTAGAACAAACGACCGAACTTTTGAAATTAAAGTTTGACTATATATTTTATACGGGATCAACACGCGTCGGTAAAATTGTGCATGCTGCGGCCAATCGATATTTAACACCAACAACATTGGAATTGGGTGGAAAATCACCAGTTTACATTGATGATACAGTTAATATTGAAGTGGCAACGAAACGAATCATTTGGGGAAAACTAATGAATTTGGGCCAAACATGCATTGCACCCGACTACATTCTATGCACGAAAGCTGTTCAAGGTAAAATCATTGAGGCAACGCGCAATTTACTTAAAGAATTCTACGGCGATGATATGCAACAAAGTCCCGACCTCTGTCGAATTGTCAATGCAAACAATTTTCAGTGAGTATCTTTCGTTCTAGATACATTTTGTTTCTTTGAAAACAAAACAAAAAAAAATACAAAAAAAACGAATATTTCGAATATGACTTTAATTACATTCACAGACGTCTTGTTAAGATGTTGAAAGGGGCTGACATTGCTCTCGGTGGTAACACAGATGCTGAAGAAAGATACATCGAACCAACCATTTTGATTAATGTAAAGCGAACCGATCCCGTTATGCAAGATGAAATTTTCGGCCCAATTTTACCCATTATTAACGTTGATAATGCATTCGATGCCATTCAATTTATTAACGCCGGGTAAGTAATCCATGGAGTTTGATTCTATTTTTTAAATGCAAAATTCAAGTATGGTTTCTATTAAACTTTTGTATAGTGAATTGCCGTTGGTTCTGTATCTATTCACATCAGATTCTAAAATTCAGGAGATAGTCTGCAAGCATACGAGATCTGGTAGCATATGCATTAATGATACGATGATGCAATATGTTGGTAAGATGACAATGATCAAAAAAGCATCGAATCTTTATTCATTTTCTATCTTCAAATCAAAATAGTTGAATCATTGCCGTTCGGCGGTGTTGGAATGAGTGGAATGGGAGCATACCATGGAAAAGATTCGTTTGATACATTTTCTCATAAGAAATCATGCTTGGTTAAAAGTATGAATCCGATTGCCGAGTATTTGTCATCGTAAGTGATATTCCAAATAAACGCAATTTGATTGAAAACGGCTCTTTTGAAATCGATCAATCATTTTATTATTTAAAAAATAAAAAATCTTTTGAACTTGTGATTCCTTTCAATTCAAAACTAATTTCATGTTAATCTACTTATATTTCAGATCCCGTTATCCACCTTATTCAGATCGTAAAACAAATTTATTGGTATTTTTGTTGAAGAAACGATACAGCATATCGCCAAAATATCTGGGTTATGCGGCGATCTTTGGTTTGGGTGTTATGACCACCATTTTGTACAATCACTACTCAATAGCTTTTAATAAGGTATAAAAACGAAGGAAATTTAACATTGCAAAAATACATTTAATTAAAAAGAAATATTGCATGTGAATATAAAAACAAACAATACTGTGCTGAGTTTCGACATACATTCAATTTAGTCAATAATAGTGTAAATGTGAACAATTTTCGATCTTGTTTTCTTAATTTGTGGTATTTATTTCTTTCTCTCTTCTATCTTTGCCATACATACTTTGAATCGATTTTCCATCACACATCCTTGGGATCACATACATCCAATAAACACAAAAAAAAAACAAACAAACTTACACACAAATTTATACAAATTCCATACACAATTCTAGAATGTGTTCAAACGGCGATAGCATTCGATTTTGAACATCCAATGGGACTTGACATGTTTCTTTTTTTTGAAAAAAGGAAGAAAACAAAATGTATAATCAAATGTTCCAAAATGTGTTTTATCTTGAAATTGAAATTTTGTTAGAAAATGAATTGTTTATCAAAGTTGATTTACCAAAATCGTTTGATTTTATCGATTTGCAGCCACTTGGGGTATGCATGATCATAATAGACCATTAATATTAAACAAAAAAAAACATTTCTATTGCATACATCATTTGCAAAGCAAAACGATTTTTTTATGCATTTATTTTGTGAAGGGCATCAATTTTCAATGGGTTTTTTTATAATTAGTTTAAGCGATCAACTAATAAAATTATATATTTTCAATGAAATTTTGGTTGTGTTTCTGACAAATAAATAATAATGGTGGATTTGATTTACGGTAATGGTATTGTTTTGGTTGGATGGCATGCATGGATTTGGAGTATTTATTGTTCGCATTTATTTCAACCATTAAAATGAATTTTAATGCAATCACATTAGATTGGTGATGAAATAGACGGCTGGTTATGGTTTTAATTGAATGTGAAAAAAAAAAAACGAGAAGATTGTTCAATAAGTTGATCTGTTCGGTCAATTGAATTCGTTGTTTCAAATCTCATTGAATAGACTCATCAATCAATTGTTATGCACACACGGTCAAATCCAATAATTATATCATTTCAAATGCTTCCTGAATGATGTTCGTCCTCAGTTGCAGTCTTTTAATGAAATTCGATTCAATTCGAAAAACAGAAAACATCAGCGACAATTGTTTCCAATTTTATTAAATTGTTTCTCAACCATTTTTTTTCTTGTTCGTTATAGAATGACGCCTGAAATTGACTGAGAAAATGGATATATTGAAGTGTGCAAGAGAAAAAATTACCAACAGATTTAATTTTAAGTGTCAATTACCTTAATGTGCATTATGTACGTCTTATTTTGGGGGATAATGATATTTATGTGTGTAATAACAACATGAATGTTTGCAGTGTGTGATGATCAACGAGATTGAATACATGATGTCTGCGGGCGTGTATCATTGCAACTTCAAAATACACAGCAATCACAATATTATTTAAGAGATGAAAAAAAAAACTGTTGCGGACTATGGGTTTCAAACAAATTACTACAGTATAAGCTATGTAAAGAAACGAAAAATGGACTGGGAATCGGCAGCAGACGAAATTATCAAAAAATTATGTCGGAACATTCCATTGGAAATATGAAACTAAAATTAAGATAAAATTTAGGTGAAAAAAAGTCAAACTTGATATTATTTACTTTTGTTTTTCGAAGACGAGACTTTTTTTTTGGAAATTACACTGAATCTATAATGTTCTTGCCTTCGAAAAAAAAAACGTTTCTTTGTATTTTTGAAATGATATTCCATTTCATACGATATTTGAGTTATTGGATTATTGAGCTAATGAGATAATGGTATTGTATATTTTTTTTGTTCTATCTTTCTGAAGTGGGAGTTAGCTTTAAGATGAAAATGTTTCATAATCTGTTTTATTTTGGAAAAGAATAAAAAACCAATTGAACAATCTAAAAACATAGTTGTGTAAAATGAAACCCATTGAATTGGCTTTTTTTAGTTAAAAGTTCCTATTTATTGTTTACACTTATAGCTTCTTAATAACTACACATTTCAATTAAATATTCAACATCAACGGGCTCTTATTCTCTTAATTCTCATTCATTTGTTTCATTTCAAATATATTGCAAAATCCATGCGTGTCGGACTGTATTTTTTTGTTCTACTCAACATTGTTTTGTTGGCTATTTTCTCTATTGTATTTTTCGATAATTTATCAAGATAAACAAGAAATTGTTTGGTGAAATTGATTTGAAAATTGTAAAAAAAGAGAAGAAAATGATTGGATGTATTCTAAATAATAAAGAATTGAAGTGAGGTTTGTGTGCTGTTTATTGAACAATTATTTTTCGTTTAGAATGAATTTCGAATTTTTCGTTTGTGTAGACGAAAATTGTTTGCTATACACAAAAAAAAACTTTATTTTATGCATATTTAGAGCCAAGTCATATAATACAGGACATTTAACAGTCAATAATAAAATTTATAAAAATAATCAAATATTATCTTTCGATCATTTTTGTACATCTACATCTTTGGTTTGGGTGTATAGTATTCAAAAAAAAAAAAAACGGAGGCCTGGCGAATATATCTCAAATTAAATTACGGTTTCCTACTACATTTTGTTAGGAAAAGAAAATATTGCACATACTATTACTATAATTTGTCTATTGACAACTATTATTTAATTTAGTACAATATGTGTAACTTGATCTATGTTTAGTCAATGGTGTGAGTTTTTCTCTATTTTTCAGAGCAATGAAAAAAAAACATAATAATTTATTTGAACAAAAAACAAAGGTGTGTTAGTAGTTTTAATCAGTTTCTAAATCATCAAAAGCACTCTTACATTTGCTTGAACAAGAAAGAGAGCATACTAACTTAAATGAAATTAGCAGAGCGCAAGAGGGCGAACAGTATGACCATTGTAATAATTGGAAACTTTTATCATACTTGACGCGCGTGTGTGTGTGTGTGTGTGTGTGTGTTGGCGCCATGCAATTAACCTATTTTCACGCCACTGACTACAACCAAACATTTTGCATTTGTATATTTTGTTTTTCCTCTTTTATCAACGCTTACTTATCTTGAAAATGTCATAAATCATTACCATTTGCTTTAATTTACATTTTATAAATCTCCTTTCTGGTTGTCTCCATTCATTCCTCATCATTATTGTCAAAGCAATGTACGTGTGCAAATCTTCTCATAATCATAACAAGATTGTGGGCAAACTCAGTTTTTTTGCTCCTATGAAATGTATATAACTTTATTCAGTATGGTGTGCGCGTTCACAAACAGAATAACTGAAAAACTATTCACTTAGTGGTTGGATCTTACAAAAAAAACATATTAGCCTTTCCACCATCAACTTAATCTAAATACATCTTATTTTGCATCTTCAACTTCGTTGCAAAAAAATATCCGTCTCTTGTGGCTTCTTATTCGGCTCATAAAGCTTATCAACTCTTGTTGGGCTTCTTCATTATTATTTCCTTCCTTTTTCCATTTAAGTTTATAATTATTTTTATTTGGTCAACTTTTATGGGCTCGAATTGTTAGAATGAACATTTCATTCACATATAACTTCGTTTTTTTTTTTAAAAAAACCTCGAACTAAAATCGAACCACGGATTGGCTTTTTTGTTTCTTTGGACAATTTATAAAAAAGACGGATTCATAGAATTAAAAAAAAATCACGTTATTTCTCTATGTTTTCATTTCAAATGCGTAAATTTTCTGTTTCATTCAAACTTTCATTTTATCACAATTTTTAGGCGATTTTCAAGTGATTTCATTTCAGGAATTGTTTTTGTTTACTTCAATTTAAAAAAGATAATAAATTTGTTTTAATTTTAAAAAAAATTGGCCTAAACAAAAACTTCATTTCACAAACGCCGATCACTATTATGATCTGACCAATCTGTTTCGCTCTTTAGCGTATTTTTTCCATGACTATTATACGATTTACGATCATCTTTGACAACACCGATCATTTCATCCACTTTGACTTCTTTTCGCATATTCAAACGTACCAAATCAATGTCACCAATACCATTCGATAAAGTCGCTGATGACGATCCAAGTGAATTAGTTGCATAAATATTGCGATGTTTCTTCGGTGTTGTTGTCGATACATTATGTTTTATATTGTTTCCAGTGGTTGTTGTGTTTGAATCGTTGCTATTATGACTATGACCTGGTGTACTGTGTGCACTAGCAAAGGAGTATGTTGGTCGCTGATAGACACTTCTATGCTCAAACTTTTGATACATACTGTTCGATGTATTATCCAAATTATCCAGAGATGATCCATTTTCTGTTGATAATAAATGATTTGAATGGTATTGTTGTTGTTGTTGTTGTTGTTTTTGCTGTTGCATTGTTGATCGCATGTGAATGTCGGGAACATTTTTCGATCTGATATTGTTAGATACGTCTCGCTTATGACTTTCAATATTGTATCGTGAACCGTATGACATGCTGCTCGAGCCACTTGCTTCTGAATGATCTTTGAATGCCCTTGGTGGCTGGTGTTGCTGTTGATGATGCTGTTGTTGTTGTTGTTGGTGGTGTTGCTGTTTCATTTCCCGTTGAAAGGCTAAGGCGATCGCATTTGTGTCATCATTTGTGTAGGGCGTTGATGGTGTCATTGGCGAAATGTCGGTGTATTCAGTTTTTCCCGATTCGGCCGAACAAATGCTGTATCGTGTTAAATCTTTTGGCAACGAATGGCTACTGTTACTGTGACTACGTGGCGATGTTGTCGAATAATGTTGTTGAATATTCGCATTTAATGTGGTCAATTTTTCGAAATCACGATTCGGAAATTGCATTCGTGATCGTGTAAATATTTCGCGATTGTTGGTATTAATTGTTTGCTGTTGGGCCGTTTCATTATCAACAACAACAATATTCGAATAATTTCCGGATGGTGCTGATGTAATTATAATCTCTTCCAGCGATTGATAGCCTGAATTTTCGACACCAATCCCATTTGATGGTGTTTTCGATACCTTTGCGTGCATAAAATTTGATGAACAACTTGGAATATTATCATGTTGACGTGTGCTATTATCTAAACGACCACTAATCGATGACATATTTTGTGTTGAACTAAATATATTTTGAACATTAACACGTGATGTTGATTGATTTGCGCCAATACTATTGGCACCATTTTCAATTTTTTTGCGCGCCTTTCGAAATGGCAACGTATTTGAATGTGTTGAATCACGTTGTTGCGTATCACTGTCCGATAGTGTTGCTGAATCGGCCGTCGATTCTTTTGCTTTGAATGTATTTAATCGATTTTTTATGCGATGATTTGAATGTGTTGGCGTTGCACAAATTTGTTCAATCGAATGATGATGCTGTTGTTCACTGATTATTGGTGTACAATCAATACTATTTAGATTCGATTGATGCGTTGCCGCTGAAATTGGTTGGATAACAACACCCGAATGTTCAGTGATTTGTTGACATTGATTGTATAGGTATCGATTACGACGACTTGGACTATTTGGATCGGAATATGGTGGCGGTGGGCCCCATATACCAAAGTGATGTGGATTATTTATTAATGTATAGCTTTGCAACATGTTTGTATTATCGAGACGTGACATATTCGTTGAAAATCCATATTGTGAATCTGGGCTGGATGGCGTTTGACGAAAACGTTGGTTGTCACTTCGTTGCGACCATGGAAAACGTGGCCAACTCCAACCACCCGGCCGTTGTCCGCTTTGCATTGAATTTTGATTCACCATACGTGATACAATCATATGGTCATCGGTTCCTGTATTTATGTTTATGAAAAAACACACACATAATTGAAACGATTTAAAATGGCTATTTAATTTCAAACATATAATGATAACAGTTTGATTGTCCAAGGGAGTAGTTTGGTTTTAAAAAAAAAGAAGCTAGATTACCTTGTGAATAATAGCCATTTGGTGGTGGTGACCAAAACCGATTATCGCTATCCCATGAGTAACTCGATTGCATCATATTTCGATGTGAATGACATTGTTCACAACATCTGCATGGGCCATTTCGTGGTGTTCCAATTATGGATGGACCATTACCCAATGGCCATCCCGGCGGACTTTGTCTGCCATATGCTTGCCTTCTTCGCAATTCCAATTGCTCCCAAATCATTTTCTTTCGTTCATGACTCAACAATTGATACACCAGCATGCCTAACACAAAAAAATGCAATTGATTGTTTTTTTTTAAAGAAGATTATAGTGTCAGTCAAAATCAATTATTTTGATTTAAACCGTTAAAAAAAACTGTCATTTAAATTCAATCTTCGGCTTTCATATACATTATGGAAAAAATTGTATTACGACAAATTGAATACTCACAGCTAAAAACGGCAACCAAAACACCAGCCACTGAAATGCCAAAAATAGCACGCAAACAACTGTAAAGTGCATTATGCACCACGCTGCATTCATCAGCCGAATCAAATACGAATCGATAGCCAACTAAAAGAAATGAAATTGTCAAAAACAACAGATAAAAACATTAATGGAGACAGAGTGAAAAGAACGACAATGAAGACAGAGAGAGAGGAGAGATAATTCCGAACGAGAGAATTTTGTTACAAATTAAAGGAAAAATGTACATGTTTTGTTACATTTTTAATTAGTCGTATAATTGTGAAAATGAGATAGAAAGAGAATGATACTTACTTTCATCATTTGCGCCAATGTTTCCGCTTTCATCCTGCATTGTGTGCGTTTCAACCGAATAACACGTACACGTCCGTGTTTTTCGCGTGTATTCGCATTCTCTTAATGCTTGCAAACGGCTCATATGTATAACTGTTGTTGTAACAGTAACCAAAGCGCACGTTAACGCCGACGATAAGCCACATGCTCCAGATAATTTGATCTATTTCAATTTCACAAACGCAAAGAAATAACATGAAAAAAAAATAAGATTAAAAAAATGCGCAGAGCCCGTTGCAATGACGCAAACTGAAATAAGAGTGTGTCACATAATTTATATGCGAATTCCAAAAATAGAGTGAGCAATACGAGAGCGACGTGTTCGATCACGCCGCTCATCCAAGGACCAAGAACACTATAATCCCTTTTCTTTTCGTCAACTCTATTGCCAGCGATTTTTCATTTTATGCGCTCTATTGTAATTTGGTGCTCTTTTTTAAATTAGCCTTCGCGATTATATACAAATTCATCGAATTTCAAGCGATGCAAATCTCAATGCGGTGGAACGAAAACTTAGATACATGCAAAATATATGATAAACTTGGAACACTTACTAAATAACTATAGCGATTCCGTCGTCTAGCTAAGCTTATGATACACAGACCGGTCAACATCAACTGTAATTATTCAAAATAAAAATTATTCATAAATTTATCTTTTTTAATTTTTCTACTTAAAATCCTATAAATAATGATGTTATCACGATGTAAATTCGGTTGTTGTTGTTGTTCTTTTTTTTGTCTGATTTTCCTCTCCTGTTTTGTGTTGATCAATGGCAGAAAATTTTATGGAGTCGATAAATTCGTTTAATGCCTCAATCAAGTATCGAGACTGCTGTAATATGAGTGAGTAAAATAGAGAAAGGTTGAGGGGGACCGCCATGAAAAGGGTTGATGGGTTTTCTCTGTTTAAGATTCCCATCCAAATCCATAAAATGTTGGAATTCATGGAATCCACTAGAAAAATACGTTTGTGGTTTTCATACTCCGGAATATACTCTATTATATTGTCATTTATATTTTATTTGTGTGTTTGCATGAGTACCATAATGCTCATGCATTTTATCGTTGTGCACAAAAACCAATGACGACGACAACGACAACCAAGAAAAAAAAAGCGAAATAAAGAGAGATATCTCTATATAGAGAAAAAATCGTGTTCGATGGTTCACGCAACAACTCCATCAACTTTAAGTGCAAAATCAATGGTAATACACAAGTTTTATTCCGTGGTTTTGCGTGGAAGAGTGTTCATCTATTTTCTAGCGAAAATCGGTTCGAATGAATTTAATGTGTCGTAAATGAACGTAACGTCCATTTAGTAAATGGAAAACCACCAAAAACCAACCGAATACGAGCTTGCAAAACGCGAGCGCACAATTACGCACGCACAAATACAACAACCGCAACAACAACAATGGAAATCGAAAATTGAAGAAAAAAAAGAAGAGGAGGAAAGTGTAGAGAAGAAATAAAAAGCACTTTGCTTAAATGAATATTTACCGTTCTCATGAAAGTCTCATTTTTCCCATCGTTAACGAATTTTCTTATCTACATTCATTCATTTTGTTATCATTTTGTGTATGTGTAATGTATTTGATTTGTAAGTCGAATGGAAAAAAAGTTTAGTAAATAGTAGCCTGTATAATCGGTAATGCAACCATTCTAATTTGGCCATAATTGCATTTAGTGAATGAGATTTGCCTTGGTTGAATGTTAAACACACTCTCCACTTTATTTGCTCGATGCTTTATGCAAAGAGTGAACGAACGATAAAAATAAAAAGTTCATTATGAAAGAAGTGAGCCAAGCAGTCGTAGAAAAAAAATATATGCAAAAAAAAAGAGGAAAAATTCAATATCAATACAATTGCAAATATTTTTCTTCGGCTTACTGGCTCGTTTTTTTATTCGTGAACAATTTTATTCCAAATTTAATATGATTCTGTGGATTAAATCCACATGATAATATCCACCGGCAATTCAATTTAAATAGTTGTTTGCGATTTGTATTTAAAATCACCAAAGAAACTTATCGAAACTAATCGCGTCGACGAAAAATCAACATTAAATTTGTTATCGTATGGTGTATACTTTTCGGTGTCAATGCCATTAAATGTATGTCTACTTAATGGATGGGCGGACACAAAGGAAGCAAATAAAAGCTTCTTCCACGAAAATTTACTCGATGGAAATTCACTTTCATTTGTATCATATCAATAGAAAAATCATTCTCGAAATAAATGTTGATTTTGGCACAGTGCGTCGAATGAATTGTATTCATATTCTTGACGTCGAAGATATTATGGGTTAAGTGATATTTGTAGATGTGTGGACGTAAAAGTGAAAGCAACATTGAAAATTCAATTTCAAAGGAAATAAAAAGTGTTTTTTTATAATATTGTCAGCAAAAGAAAATGAATGATATTCAACAGTAAAAATTGACAAAAATCAAAGTGAAGGTCATATGAATAACTAATGCACATATATTCAAAAAAATAAATAAATAAAGAGAATAATACTTGGTGTATGTCGTCTATATTTTGTCATTCGATATCACCAATTCACCATATCGCATCCATGAAAACAAAAAAAGTAATAATAATAATCTTGATAAAATACAGAAGAGAGAAATACAGACGGAGACACAGAGATAAGTGAAGTAGAGACAATGTATCGATGTTCCGAAATATGGGTAATTTTTAGTGAATTTCGCTCCGTTGAGAGTGCCCTGCGGAGGAAAACTTTTTCTCATAAAAAGTGCGCTAAAATACTAACGGTATTGGTTTTTATTTCTCTTATTGCTCTGTACATCACAATTTTTTTCTATCCATCGAAAAGTAAAGTTTACTTAGTAAACACAAAGACATCGAAAAAAATGAATATTATAACGCCTGTCATAAAAATGTGATTCAGAACTTAGCAAACACATACAAAGAGACTGGCATATCCAATAATAATATCCAACTATCCAATGGAAATGATTGCTTTACAGTTCAATATTCTGGAGTATCTGGCGTTTTTTTTTATCATCAACAAATATATAATAATGAAAAAAGTTTTAATGAATCTCACAACCAAATCAAAATACAAACAATCTATACGAACGTGTTCAATCTGTATTAGTATGCCTTCGCGTGTATGGTAAATGTGTATTTGTTGGTTTTCTGAAGCGATTAATGCTAACGCGTAAATTTTAAGATTACCAATAACCAATAGATCGTAGCAACCATGTACGATATATTTTCATATAATGCCTATTAAAATGGTTTCATCTAAAATTGATAGCCGATGGAAATAAAAGACAAAATTGCCATCCATATATTTGGTATCGAATAAGTGAATGAAAATTTTCGGAAAATTGCCATCAAAATAAAAGCGGAAACAAACAATACGAAATTCGATTGAATGGAATAAAAATATGGACTGAATTTGATAAATTGACATGAATTCACGCCATCGCCGCACACAAATATATTCGCATATTAAAGCTTATATCCATAAATATACTGACAATTCATTCATTTCGATAAACAAACGATTCGTATCTATGATTATTGGCTTTGTGTTGTTCCACTTACAATTTTTGTATGCGGCCGTATGGCATTAGAGTCTAAAACAGGCAAAATGCGCATATCGAATTATACTAGAGAGCAGAAAATGCGATTTATATTGTGCCATATGTATAGAATTTTTTTTGAATGTGCTTACTTCTGCAACTTCAACTGTTTTTTCAATTTCGGCATCATTTCCATTTCTATTTTTCTTCATTTTTTGTCGATTTCACATATCCGATACGATGTATTTTTGGCATTAAATTGACCGAATTATTATACAAAAAAAAAACGACTTGATAGATAAATTTTCGCACCAGGTAGACAGAATCAAGACACACTTACATCATCTGTTATTATATGCCATGTGCTTTTTTCTTACTTGAAATATGAAATAGATTTTTTTTTCACAATGAATAGAAGGAGAATACATTTTCTCATTCATCGTTCAACATAAATAATGGAGTATTATACATTCTACAAAGACGGATTAGCATTTTTTTCTATTTTGTTCATAAAAAATGTAAACTACGCTGCATTCTGTATCTCAATGTTGATGTTTTTTTTCCGTTCATTTTGATGCATCTATAATTCGATTTTCACACAATACCAAGTGAAAGAAATAGCAAAAAGATGGTCGGTTTATATTTCAAGAGCTAGGTCATTAGGGTTCTTTGTAAAATGCAAATAACACTAATGGTTGTCATTTCAATTTCGGTCGAACACGTTTTTTTGTTCTTGTGAATTGAAGTGCAAGATAAATAGCGACAAAAACTGCGCGCTAAAGAGTGATAGTACTCACAGAAAAAGTGGAGGCGGTTTTTCCGCAAATTATTGTAGCAACAGCAGAGCTGCAATAAAAACGTGTTTCTTGTAGCTTAT